GGTATTGGTATATGGCGGGAATAGGAGTCGGCTCACCGTAAATGTCGTTGTTCGAGAGCACGATTCCCGACTTAATCGCCCTGGTGCCAAGCCCGCTCAGCCCGATTCGCACCGACCCGGGGCTCTTGAGGAACGGGAACTCGCCGGTGATGGCCATGCCGTCGATTCGCGAATTCATCGTGCGATACATGTCAATTCGCCCCCACATGTAACCCTGCGCGATCTGGATGCCGAACGACTTGTACACATGAATTGAAGGGCAAATCACCCCCGTTCCGAGCTCGGGCAGCCCCGCACACGCGGGGGAAGTTGGAAGACTACCCATCCAGAAGTTGATCCCCCATACAATTACATTGAACGTCTCGACGAATCGGAGGATCGGTTGATTGGCCCCTAGGTACGAGATCGTACGGTTGCCCGTGACGTCCGCCTGCAGGATCGTGCACGAGTAGTACGGGCCGAAAACGATGCCCTTCTTTACAATCACATCCGCTTTCAGCGTCATCAGGACCGTCGTCTTTCGCGAAAACTTGAGCCGCTTCACGAAGTCGGCCTCCGTTGTAACGACGATGCGCGGGGTCGACGCGGTAACGGGGGAGCAAACCCCCCTTCTCTGCGCCAATCCTACTCTTCTCCCCGCCGGCCCCCCACCCGCGCCCGCTCCCGCGCCCGCCCAACTGCTAGCAGCAGCGGCGGTAGAGGCAACGCCTGCACCGTTAGCCCCCAGCCATCCGTCGTTTCCGGATGACGTGGCCGCCGCCTCTGCAACGTCAGCGCCACCATCCGAGGGGTCCGCGGGGAAGAGGGGCTTTCGATCTCCCAGCATCCAGGGGAGGGTGTATTCGCTCTTGGGCATCCAAGAGGGACGCGACACGTCGGCGCCGCTCAGCAGGTTGCGGCGAGCGCTGTCTTGGCGCAGGAAGGGGAGGTCTCGCCAGTCCGGCGGGGGGACGGGGGAGGGATCGGCGGAGAATGTCCGGGGAGGCCAGACATCGTTCCGCGCGGCATCGGCGCACGGCAAGAGGAGCAGCGCCAACGCTGCCGCCAACACGAGCGCTCCACTTTCGAGGCGCCGGCGGAAAACGGTCGTTTCTTGCGGAGAAACCATTTGCAGACGAGACCTGACCATTTGCCGGTTTTGTGACCTGACGCTCGCTAGCGCTGGGAGTAACTTTAGCCTAGACTGGGAGATTGCGACGCAGACGAGTAGAATTGACGGGCACTACAAACGACCTAGTAAGCTTTCCAAATGGATACAATTACCACCGCGAAAAGACGACTCGTAAAAATGATGTTCGGAAGACGAGCACCCGCGAGCCTCGGAAGCGAGCACCGCAAGAATAAGGGCGACTTTGCCTTGTCTGCTTTGCCTTCCTCTTTGCTTTTCTCTGCTTTGCCAGTCAGCTACAGCAGGAGAGAACACTCACCTTCGCCTCCAACCAACCGCTGCACGCATCTCCAAGGGTGCACTGCACACACTGCACAATTGGGCACGGTTATGTGATATGTATGGGCTGGATGGGAGCAAATTACTGTGCACAGTGCGCACTCTGTGCCCCCATGTTTGGGCCCTTCTAATTGCGCCCCTCCTGCACGAAACCTGCACTTGCTTTCGGAATGCTGGCTTCGTTGCGTTGACCTGCTCGCCGTTCGGTTCGGCAACATGGAGCGCTGGCTTGGCCTTTACTTAGCCTACGGGGGTGCTTCGCTATGGGTTTCAGTTTATGCCATTGGTGCGAGGCTGGATTGATGGTTCGGCAAGGTTTTGTTTGATAGACCCGCCAGCAGGCTCGTGAACAACATCGAAGCAGCACGCTTTGTGGCGGCGCGCCAATCTACGCTTCGCGCACGAACCTCCTCACGATAGAAACAAATTATTGGTCGGAGGTGGGGCTGGTCGAAGCGCGCCCTACCCTGAAAGTCGGTTGTGCGGTGAATGCGAACTCTGGGTAACCACGTTGCAACTTGAGCTGTTTTTTCGATTCCGAGTCCGGCTGCCCGAGTTTTCAGGGGTGAGGTGGACGTCGGATCGGTTTACAGCTTCCATCTCGACGGCTCTGAGTTGGCGTTCCTGCCCGAAAGATGCACATAACAGCCTTTTGTTCAACTTCCACCGATGTTTTGCCCTGCCGAAAGCTGCCAGGCCACCCCTTCCCCGAACCACATCGCACGAATCTGATGATCGTAGATACTTGGCATTATAATAGACATATTTTCACCCGATTTTAGGCGCCGCAGGCGAACAGCTCTTATCGGGTACACACTTCCATGGCGGGAATTCCCGCTTCTACTGGACAATGCTCGGATCAAGGTACTTCATTGGGCACGCACACTCATCCCAATCTCTATCCCCACCATGGCCGGAATTCGCGCCGTGCTTGCCGCCACGGCCGAGATTCAAACATTTCATCAAGACCCGAAAGCGCCCGCCGCCTGCTCCCGCGCGACGCTGTCCGCCTCTTCGCGGGAAATTATTTCCTCCCGCAGATGGAAGAACAAATTCGCCCGCAGCGCAGACCGGCTCGGCTTTAATAGCTTCACAGACGATCGGCTGAGAAGAATAATCTCCGCACATGGGGGATTTCTCGAAGCGGGAGGGCTTCCCGCCGCGTCTCTAGCGGCCGTAGCTGCCGCCGCGATTGGCGGGGCGGCGATCACCGCCATGGCGGCGGGAGGATTTGGAGGGAAACGCGATGCGGCGAGGGCGGCCGTCCGACGTGGCATGGAGCTATTCGTGGAGGTAATGACTGGTGGGGCGCGACAGTGGGGCTCGGGGGAGGGAGGGAGGGAGGGCGAGAGGGCAGTCTCAGTGGCGCCCAGAGCTGTCATGCCTTGTGCCATGCCTCACATACCCTGCCCCAATGCCATCTACCACACCACCCCACACCACACCTCACCAATCCACACAACACCAATGCCATGGGACAGAGCTCATGCCTCACGCCGTGCCTCACGTACGTTTTTTCTCCAATGCCCCATGCCCCGCGACGCCATGCCGGGACATCATCATCATCATCATCATCATCATCATCATCATCATCATCATCATCATCATCATCATCATCATCATCATCATCATCATCGTCATCGTCATCGTCATCGTCATCGTCATCGTCATCGTCATCGTCATCGTCATCGTCATCGTCATCGTCATCGTCATCGTCATCGTCATCGTCATCGTCATCGTCATCGTCATCGTCATCGTCATCGTCATCGTCATCGTCATCGTCATCGTCATCGTCATCGTCATCGTCATCGTCATCGTCATCGTCATCATCTGTAGAACGACGTGCAGGGCTCTGTGGTGGAATTCGACAAGGCGCTACGGCTGGACCCCTCGCAGGAGCCATGTGAGTGGCAGCTGTAGCAGGAGACGTGTGAGTGGCGGCTGTAGTAGGCGCCGTGTGAGTGGCAGGCGTGTGGCAGGAATAGGCACGGCTGGGCTGTTTATGCTCCACACGCCCGCGCTGTTCCCTCCTTTACCTTCTCGCCCGTCGCCTCTCCCTTTTGCACCCCGCGCACCCGCTCTCCTCATCCCTCTCACCTTTTCTCGTTCCTCCCCCATTCCTCCCCCATCCCTTCCCCCATTCCTCCCCCATTCCTCCCCCATCCCTTCCCCCATTCCTCCCCCATTCCTCCCCCATCCCTTCCCCCATTCCTCCCCCATCAGACCTGTGGCAGCGGGGCCTCTCGCTCTACTACCTTGGAAGGTTCCAGGAAGCAGCAGAGCAGTTTCGCAAGGACGTGGCGGTGAACCCCAACGACACGGAGGAGGTGCGGTGCATGCTGGGTAGGCTGCCAAAACCTTGGTGTGGTGAAGCGCAGTGAGATGCGGTTAGGTGTGGTGAGGTGTGGTGAGTTGAGGTCAGCTGAATGAATGATTGGCCACTGGATGGCCAATCATCCAACGCCCTTTCTAGGTCCTTGGCGCCAAGCCCAGAGGTTGGTCGCTCTCGGTACGTCCTTCTTCCCCCCCATTGCCCCGTGCCGCAGGAGTCTATTTTTGAGGCGCCTCAAAAATAGACTCCCGTGCCGCAGGCCGTCTACATCTGGCGTTTCTGCCGCGAGGCGCAGCTGCTGCGAACACAGAATGCCAGAGCACAGGCGCAGCAGCTCCTGCTGGTCGGCAGAGCAGGACCAGGGAGGGGGGGGCAATGACACGGTGCTCCTTGTACTCACTGTTGTCCCCTACTGCGTGCAGGCCATCTGGTGCTTCTTGAGCGAGGCACAGCTGCTGGGACCACAGGAGGCGAGGCAACAGTTCCTGCTAGTGGGACAGGACCCTCGGCCCGTTATGCGGGCTGCCATGGAGGTCTTTAAAAAGGCCGGCGATCCTAACGAGGTTGGTTGAATCGAGGATACATGTGGGGGTAGGGAGGATACATGTGGGGGGAGGGAGGATACATGTGGGGGGAGGGAGGATACATGTGGGGGTAGGGAGGTTACATGTGGGGGGAGGGAGGATACATGTGGGGGTAGGGAGGTTACATGTGGGGGTAGGGAGGATACATGTGGGGGTAGGGAGGTTACATGTGGGGGGAGGGAGGTTACATGTGGGGGTAGGGAGGATACATGTGGGGGTAGGGAGGTTACATGTGGGGGGAGGGAGGATACATGTGGGGGTAGGGAGGATACATGTGGGGGTAGGGAGGTTACATGTGGGGGGAGGGAGGATACATGTGGGGGGATGGCACGTGTGTGGGGGGGAGGGCACATGTGTGGGGGAGGGAGGACACGTGTGGGGGGGAGGGAGGACATGTGTGGGGGGGGAGGGCAGGTGGGCCACGGCCAATCATGCGAGCCGCCATGGACGTATTTAGGACGGGCGGGGATCCTAAAGAGGTAAGTTGAGACGAGGATATCTGTTGAGGGAGGATGCTGGACCCACTGCCCGTTATGGGAGCTGCTATGGGCGCTCTTAAAGCTGCAGCAGTTCCAAAAAGGGCACAGGTGAATGTTTTGTCGCGTGTTTTACTCACTGCTAGACTTCTTGATTTCGACAGCTTTTTGGTTAAACAGCTTGCAGTTGTTTACACCTGTTCTTCCCTAGTTGCTCTAAACTAACTCCCACCACCGCACTCACTGGAAGAATGTCCCAAGAGCCGCAGCGCACTCACAGGAGAATGCGAATACGGCCCTTCGATATTGAGATGGCTGCTTTCGCTTTCGCTCCCTGCTGATGCACGCCCACGGTGCATCCCTCTCTGCACCTGTCCCTCTCTGCACCTGTCCCTCTCTGCACCTGTCCCCCTCCTTTCATCTGCCGTTTCCAGATCCTAGCAGCGGCGGCAGCTGATTTTGGGCGGCCATCTGCCCTGTTCTACGCGAATCTCTACGTCGGGCTGTACTATGAGAGCGAGGTGAGAGATCCTCTAGAGTCGACTCGAGATCCTCTCTTTCCCTCAAGGAAAGAGATTTGTGAGATCCTTGGGCGGGTGGACTTCCCAGCAGCTCATGCTGTTCCGTGCGTGCATATACATAACCTAAGAACGTGCACGGATCTCAAGGATCTCACATGCATGCTTTAGCTGCAGGTGCCATGGCATTCTCTTACGGTCCTGTATCTGTGTGCATGTGCTTATGCGTGTGCGTGTGCGTTTGCGTGGACTGCAGGGTGACCAATACAAGAGCAAAAGTTACATTGTCACGGCTGCACAATCCCCATATGGAGTCAGGTACTTTACCCCACGCACAAGATGCTGCAAGTGTCAAGCCCCTTGCCTGCTTCTGCTTCCCGTCCGCCCCCGTTGTCTCCGCTTAGAGCTGCGAGACATGCCCTCTTGGCTCTGTTGGAGTGACTGAACTGAAGAATCAAGGTCCCCACAACGTTCTTGTTCATCCCTCTCTACCTGCTGGTGTGTCAGGTCGGGTGACTACATGGCAGCACTGGCAAGAGTGCACTGCCAGCAACGAGGGTGGGTGTGAGGCCCCGCCGCAGCGCCTCGCCTCTAGCAGTCTGATGTGCTTAATAGATACTTCGGGCCGTGTGTGTGTCATGATCGGCATCAATGCATGTGTGGTGCCTGAGGCGAGGTGCGACGGGCGTTCCTGGTTCAAACAGTTGAGAAGCAGTTATCCCTGATATTGTCAGCCTCGAGAGTACTACTAGTACCGGTTGCTAATTAGCACAATCTGTACAACGAAAGAGCATCTCATGGCCATAAATTGCAACCCCCCCATGGTATTGTAGCATCAGTCGTCCATGTCTTCATCCATAGCAGCCTCGGCTGCTTCCCTTGCTGCCTTTACAATGTCATCAGGCACCTGTGGTGCAAGGGACACGGATGCAATGATATATGGTAAGTAAAAACCACTCCATGAACCAGAAGAAAAACGGCATGTTCGAATGAGGGTGCAGCCAACATGGTGTGCAACACGCAGGTCCGCAGCAGCAAAGATGCGTACTCTCTGGAATTGTTGGTTGGAGTCGTCGCAGCACCACCCCATCTCGAGCTCAAACGCCTTGTCCTTGGCCTCATCGTGCACTCCAACGATGCTGCTTGTAAGGAGGATGGGAAGAGCAACAGTAACCCAAGTGAGTGCTGGGAAAGTCAACTCGAGAACAAAGGCTGTCAGGAAAATGGGAGTGATCACGAGAGCGGGAGAGGGCAGAGGTGGGAAATGGGACAAAGGAGAGATGCAGTGGCGTTGAGAAACATGGACGAAGGGAGATGCCGTGAGACAGCAAGGGTTAAAAGCTACTCAACTCACATCTTAGCAACGGCATTCACCCCCTCCCGGCATGTCATCTCCGCTAGCTTTAGCTTCTCGATCTCCCTGCAGCACAGGGCACCAGCGCACAAGGAAAGGGGAGGAGATTAAGAAGGGAAGAAGATGGACAGCTGAGACAACTTCCTTTCAGCATGCCATGGGTGGTGGAGGGGGGGAGGGAGCGAGGGAGTGAGGGCACAAGGAGAAGCGGTGAACGGGAGCAGGAGGGATAAGGGACAACGGGAGTGAGAGGGAGAAGGGAGGGAGGATGCTGTGAAAAGCAGTGGGTTGATTAGGTAAGTCGTGTGGCGAGCAGGAGGGTGAGACGGGGAATGTAAAAGAAGAGAGTTGAAAAGATGAGGGAAAAGAAAGAAGAGAGTTGAAAAGATAAGCGAAAAGAAAGGAGAGAGTTGAAAAGATAAGGGAAAAGAAAGAAGAGAGTTGAAAAGATGAGGGAAAAGAAAGAAGAGAGTTGAAAAGATAAGGGAAAAGAAAGAAGAGAGTTGAAAAGATAAGGGAAAAGAAAGAAGAGAGTTGAAAAGATAAGGGAAAAGAAAGAAGAGAGTTGAAAAGATGAGGGAAAGGAGAGGGGAAAGGGGAATGGTGAGCAATGGGGAAGAGATGGTGCGACCGTTCAGGGGGGAGGAGTGACTCACGTCTTTGCTGCTTGCCTTCCCTTGCCCACTGCTGTGCCGTGATACCTCTGTGGCGAACACACGGGGGGAGAGAGGGCGAGGGGAGAAAAGAGGAAGGGGGTGGTAGGAAGGCATAGATAAGGCGGTTTTGAGGATTTGGCAAGAAATGTTGAATAGGACTTGCGCAGATACCGTAGTGGCTACATTTACTGGCATTTTAAACAAGAAACCCCTCACGCACTTACATAAGTCACACCTGGCAGTTCAATGTTGTACAGCTGTGGCCCATCCTTGTCGTAGCCCACAGAGAGCACAGAGGAGCCACGGGGGCAAAGCAGCAGCACCTACACAACGTCACTCTCCAGCCAGCACTTACATAAGTGACACCTGAGGGCTCAATGCAGTAGAGCTGCGGCCCATCCCTGTCATAGCCAGCGAGCAGCACGGAGGACCCGAGGGGGCGGGTCCACCAGTAGAGGGTAAAGAAGTGTGCGTAGTTGGCCATGCGATCTGCCAGCACCTTGAGGGGGATCATGTGTGCGAAGAAACTGGACGGGGCGAGGGGGAGGGGGGTGGGGGGTGGGGAGGACATGGCAGGGTAGCGGAAGAGCGTGAAGAAGTGTGCATAGCTGGCCATGCGAGCGGCCAGCACCTTGGGACGAATCATGTGGGCGACGATACTGGAACCGTGGGGAGACGGGGGAGACGGGGGAGACGGGGGAGACGGGGGAGACGGGGCAGAGGGAGGGGAGGAGGGAGGGGAGGAGGGAGGGGAGCCAAGGTGGTGTGTTGAAGACAAGCAGTTGACCGTGCTCGTCAACATGCTCGTCAACAAGGCTCATCTACGAGGCTCATCTACAAGGCTCATCTACAAGGCTCATCCATTGAAGAGGCATACTCATATGACTCATCCATTGAAGAGGCATACTCATATGACTCATCCATTGAAGAGGCATACTCATATGACTCATCCATTGAAGAGGCATACTCATATGACTCATCCATTGAAGAGGCATACTCATATGACTCATCCATTGAAGAGGCATACTCATATGACTCATCCATTGAAGAGGCATACTCATATGACTCATCCATTGAAGAGGCATACTCATATGACTCATCCATTGAAGAGGCATACTCATATGACTCATCCATTGAAGAGGCATACTCATATGACTCATCCATTGAAGAGGCATACTCTTATGACTCATCCATTGAAGAGGCATACTCATATGACTCATCCATTGAAGAGGCATACTCATATGACTCATCCATTGAAGAGGCATACTCATATGACTCATCCATTGAAGAGGCATACTCTCATGACTCATCCATCAGAGCGTTGCCCCTAGCATTGGGCTGTAGTGTCGGGCTGTAGCAACAGGCCCTTGAGTTGGGCCCTTGAGTTGGGCCCTTGAGTTGGGCCCTTGAGTTGGGCCTTGCCACGGGCGCGGTTGACCACCTGCCTGCCATCTGCCACGAGCCCAGCCACGGCAAGCTTGTCCGCGACGTGGATGCGGAGATATCACCCCCCCCCCCCCCCCCTCTGTAGGACGCACGTATCTACCTTCTATCTGACCCCAGCACGCACCTCTTGTAGTTGACCCCAGCACGCACCTCTTGTAGTTGACCCCAGCACGCACCTCTTGTAGTTGACCCCAGCACGCACCTCTTGTAGTTGACCCCAGCACGCACCTCTTGTAGTTGACTGCCTCGTTGCGCGCCCGGTTGACCACCTGACGGCCGTCCGCCACGAGCCCAGCCACAGCGATGCCCGCATGCTTGTCCACGATGTGGATGCGCCTGTTGCTGCCCTGCACCTGCATCTTCGATACAAGCAGCTTCTCCACGCCCTGATGGAAGGGCAGTTATGGGAGGAATGCGAGCAGTTAAGTGCTCTAAGATGGTTACGGATGTGGATGCGCCTGTTGCTGCCGTGCACCTGCATCTCGGACACCAGGAAGCTTCTCCACGCCCTGATGGAAAGAGGACTGAAAACGAAACGAACGACTTGCGGACAACTCTTGAGATGAATTAAAGCCGGATTTAAGCGAGAAGCAGACCAAGCAGACCAAGGAGACCAAGGAGACCAAGGAAACCCCACAATCAGACCAAGGAGCAGCGCGATTCACTCACCAGCACACCCCATCCTTGCATCTCAGACCCCTTATAAGACCCAATCCGCTATAAGACTCACCAGCACAACCCCATCCTTGCATCTCAGACCCACAGCAGTCCTGCAAGAGGCGAACGGGGAGAGGGGAGAAGGGGGGTAGAGAGTATGCCAGGGAACCAGAGGGTCAGGGAAGGCGAAATGGGGGAAGCGAACGGAGAGGAGGAAGGCGGGGTTGGAGGAAACTGCTTTTGAGTCGCCTCAAAAAGGGAGAGAGGGGGGACTGAGGGAGGAAGGAGGGAGGGAGGGATTCAGGGAGCGACAAGGTGAGGTCGACCGTGGATTCTGTGTAGCGTACCCGCTATTGTCGACCGCCTTTGCCGCATACTCGATCTGGAAGATTCGGCCATCAGGCGAGTAGGTTGTGACCGACAAGTCGTACTGCACGGCGGTAGAACGAACACCAGGAGCACGAAAGGGGAGGGGCAATCAACATCTAGAAGAGAGACCGATCCTCAGATGCTATTTTGAAGCTAAGATCGAATCTGGCACCCAGTCGCCTTACTGTACCGACATCTGATTGGTCAAATCACGGCCTAGAGCTGCCAAATCTAAGAGCCAGATTGGGCCACGGCGTCGATAGCACGGACCGCATCTGCTGAGAATTAGCAACGAGAGCCTAGATTCGCGTTCGACGGAGATCAGCGTGATGGCGTGCACAAGCCACGAGCGAAATCTAGCTACAAGCTCGTAGTAACACGAGTACTGATAGTGAGAATCTCACCCCTGTTCCGATGCTGCTCATGGCGAAACGCCTGCGATCAAACGGCGGCTAAGGAAAACTTCCTGAACGAGTGATCGCCGTTTGGCAGACCGGGGAAGATAACCGAGTCGGGGACTACGCTCTAGGACTTGATTTACTAGCTCCAATATTGCTAGCACGGTACTGTAAATGGCAGAATGTTTGCAAGGCCGGACACGCACTATGCTGGGATCAGTAAGTGCATCCTAAAAAACGCGATATTGACAGCCTCTATTCAACCATCCGCCAAAGATATGTACCATTAAGCCCTTACAACAAGCAGAACATCTGCACATTTGTTGGTAAAAATACATTCAAAACAAAATATTCAATAAACCAGTAGGTCCACATATCAAGAATGTATCCAGAAGTTTTCAATCTAGCTTGGCAATAATCGCATCGACATATTCTTGAGTGGTCGACTCCCCACCCATCGCAGGAGGACGCACAAACCCCTCAGCAATGACGCCGTAAATGGCATGCTCCAGACGGTCGGCAAACGACGGGAACTGAAGATGCCGGAGCATCATGGCGGATGAGAGAAGGAGAGCCGTTGGATTTGCCTTTTTCTGGGCATTGATGATGTCGTTCCCCACATTGCCTGCTGATGCCCCTTGCTCGAAGATAGCATGCTCATAGCCCACATTTCCTGGATTCAAAAAGGGGCAGAAAAACGTTTCATGCCATGATTTAGACTCTGGAGGTAGTTGAAGGCACCTTGGAGGGGGCCTGCTGTATCGGTGCATCTTTAAGTACCTAGGGAACACTAATGCTGATCAACGTACCTCCAGGCATGACAGTGGTGCCGCCAGCGATGCCTGCAGCAGTGTTTGATATCAGTGTGCCATAGAGATTTGGTGTGACCTGAATTGTTGGGGTGATGGGGGGGGCGAGGAAAGGAGAGGGGAGTGTGAAGGGAGTGAAGTGAGACAGTGGAGATGAAGGGGTTGAGATAGATAGAGGAGATCAAGGGAGGGGGAGTGCACTGGCCCACAACTACAGTCCGTCCCTCTTACCAGTTTACCTGCCTAACTTTCCCTGCCCAATTGCCCCATTGCCCACCTTCCCCTGTGTTCCATCCCCCCACAAGGACGCCCCCCCAGCCCCACCATGACGTCACATTGTATGCCACATTGTTTTCACCCCTCCCTTATACGTCCCCACCTTGCCCTTCTCTACCCTTCCCACTCCCTTTGCTCCATGCAACCAGATTGCTCGGACTTGGAGGCGAGCTACATGCATGCAGCAGTTTGCTTCATTCCCCTCAAAAGCACCTGCTGTGCTGCCTGCACCCACTGCATACCGCCTCCATTCCCTCCTTTCACTCACCAAGACGTCAAACTGCTCGGGCTTGGAGACGAGCTGCATGCAGCAGTCGAATGACACTCCAATCTCAGAACCGCTCAAAGGCCACTCGTGTTCCCACCACCCCCTCAACACAACCCACTACAACACGCCTTCACCCACCATGACGTCGAACTGCTCGGGCTTGGAGACGAGCTGCATGCAGCAGTTGTCAATAATAACCTCGTTGTAGTTGATCTGCGGGTACTGCTTGGCCACCTCGCGGCAGGACTCGAGGAACTGGCCGTCGGCGAGCTTCATGATGTTGGCCTTGTGCACTGCTGTCACCGTCTTGCGGTTGTTCAGGTACGCGTACTCGAACGCGTACTTGGCAATCCGCTCCGAGCAGAACTTGGTGATCACCTTACAGCCGGGGGAATGGGGAATGGGGAAGCGGGGAGGGGGAATGGGGAAGGGGGGAAGGGGAAGCGGGGAGGGGGAACGGGGGAGAGAGAACTTGGCGATCACCTGGGCCGGGGGAAGGGGGAATGGGGAAGGGGGACGGGAGTGTGGGAGGAAAGCGCAAGAGAGGGGGGGCACGACTCCAAGAACGCGTGGCGTGGCTCCAATCGAGTCGAGATTCCCATTCACGTTCGTAAAGCATATCGCTTAACTAAGGGCCACGTGGCATACCTTGAGGCTCTCGACGACCCCCGGAGTGACTTCGTGCTCCAGGCCGCTGTACTCGCCCTCCGTGTTCTCGCGGATCACGACGATGTTCACGTTGTCGTGGCGCGTCTTGAGCCCCGGGAAGTTACTGCAGTAGGCGAGATGCGCGAACAGATCGAACTCCTTTCGCAGCTGCACCGTCAGCGAGCTCACCCCGCCCGCCACAGCCGTTCGCACGCCTCCCTTGATCCCCACCTGCAGCAAAAACGGTGATCGGCCGTCCACAGGAAACGACACGACGCGAGATTAAACGCTTACCGAAGACCCCCCTTAAAAACTGAACGCAGGGAATGGGGATGAACGATAGAGGCCTGGGAAGCGGATCGGAGTAAAAATTAAGCAGGGAAACTCCACAGAACGTGCTAGGGGAGTTTTTTGTCAGGAAACCAGCAGAAAAAACTGACCTTGTTTCGCCGGAGGGAATCAATGACTTCGGTCGGTACGGTGGGCATGGTACCCTTGAGCTCGTACGTCTCGAAAACCACCGGCGCGTGCATGGCTTTAAACACCTGCTCCACCGCGTTAGTGCACAGCGGCCCGGCTCCGTCCCCAGGAAGCAGCGTAACAGTGCGCGTCGCGCCCTCGCCGGGCTTGGGCATGTAAGTGACGTTTCGAGTCGACTGCAGGTTGAACGCGCTAAGCGCGGCCCTGGCGGCGTGTGATCTCGACCGAGACGCGATGCGCGAGACGATGGAGGCCATTATGGGAGGTGATGAGTGGATCGGAAAAAATGGACGAGGAAAGGCGAGATCGGCTGAAATTAAAAGTGTGCGTGCGAGGGTCGAGTGATTAGATGGGACGGGAAGGATGGCGGGATGGGGATGCAATCAGGTGAAGGATTTCAGGCTGAGGAGTGGAATTTTGGGGAGGACCGATCTCGGACGGCGGACGAGCAATTAGTGCGGCGCTGCAGAAAAGAGGACTGACCTCTTGACTAAAAGCAGCAGCCAACATACTGAATTACCTTGGGATCAGCAGCTGATGAAGGGGATGGAGCAGGCGAGCCAATTCCGAGGGCTGGAGTACAGAGATCGAGCTCAGGGCGCGTTTACACTTATCCAGGGTAGGTTCTTGTTGAAAGGGCGGTCAAAGCAGCGGGAAAGCCTGCCATTTCTGGTAGACTTGAGTCTTTGACTTGAGAGAGAAAGGCCGTTTCGGCTTTTACCAAAGAGAGTTCCTGCTTGAGAGGGATTGGTCCGCGCTTTCTGTGGTGTCTCGATCACGTGGCAAATGGCTCGAATCCCATTCGCTAAAAATGTGGTGACATGGCTTTTGTCCTCGCAGCTGTCGGTATAGCGGGCATCCGATAAAAGAACGCCCTCCAAACAAATGTACTTCAGGCAGCCCCCTACGTCATTATCCTCGCCAAGGAGCACATCGTTTTATCGCGTGTGAGCGGTGAGTATGCTTCGTTTTTTTTTGTAAAGGAGGAAAGCCCAGCAGCCAGATCTCGGAAATCTCCTTTTCACGCTGACTTCACTCCATACATCTTGTGAATCAGAAAGCCAGTTTCAGCTGAGCTTGCTCTCTGCAGACGGACAGCGAGATAAGTCGACGGTAGACTCGTTTGGTTAGTAGACCAAGGACGGAGCGCAGCGGGTGTGGGTGCCGCGTCTCCTGCCTTTGGCGTTGCTTCTTGTCGTCCAGGCGATTCTTCGTTATACGCATTCGAGATACCTCGTTCCAGGTGCGATGCCTCAGTGGTATGTGAGATCGGAATTTAGTTCAGCCTCACTCGACGGTGATCCTTCGTCGTTCCTTCCTCCGACATAGGCCGCGTCATTCGTTGTTTTCGCCTCGTTCCGCCTGACACGAATCCCATCGGAATTCCAATCAGAATCACTCTATTCTTAGCACTCGCATCTTGATCACTTACCACCCCACCTGGCATTCATCCGACCTCCGACTCCAGGAATCCGGGTGGATTCAGCTCATCGCGTTTTCCTTCCTTCCTTCCGCATCGCATCGCGTCGCAGCGTCGGATTGCGAAGGCGGCGAGCGGCGATGGAGGCGGATCCGATAGAAGCGGCAGCCGCGGCGGTGTCGGTGGAGGAGCAGCGGAAGCAGCAGGCGCTCGTCGACTACCGCAAGAAGCTGCTGCAGCTGAGAGAGCTCGAAGCCCGAGTTAAAACGCGTACGTAGTCTCACTCTTCGATATAGGTTAGTTGCTGAATGGTCCGGTCGTGGTTCCGTGCTGGATGCCTCTCCAATCTCTCTTTTCCTCACACAATCTCCGGCTTTCTCATGTATCCTGACTGTGCCGGTTTGTTTATTTCTGGTGAGTCATGACTGGAATCTGATCTGATTTGATATCTGATGTTGTATGCAGTGCGGGAGAACCTGACGGGCGCACGGAAGGACTACGACAAGACGGAGGGATTTTGAGTCGACTCTCAGATACACCTAATTCCGAGTTCCCCTGTTATTTTCCGCGCAGTGCGGGAGAACCTCAAGGGCGCGCGGAAGGACTACGACAAGACGGAGGACGACCTCAAGGCGCTGCAGAGCGTCGGGCAGATCATCGGGGAGGTGCTAAGGCAACTGGACGAGGAGCGACGTGAGTAGATGGGTAGATGTTGAGAGGTGTGAGTTCTAGGGAGGCAAGAGACGGGTCGAATGGCAGAGCGTGGGGCGAATCGTCGGCGAGGTGCTGCGACAACTGGACGAGGAGGAGCGACGAGTGTGGCTGGGTAGATGTGAGCTGGTTGGGTAGATGTAAGCTGGTTGGGTGGATGTGAGCTGGTTGGGTAGATGTGAGCTGGTTGGGTAGATGTGAGCTGGTTGGGGAGAACTCAAAAGGAGCGACGAGAGAGGTTGGGTAGATGTGAGCTGGTTGGGTGTATGCGGGGAGAAGTCAATTTGGTGCTCGCTCCCAAGACACAACCCTGCTTGGCTTCTCTCCCTCTTCCCCCAGATTCAGACTCCCACACTCCCACACGCCCTTACCCCTGTATCCCTCACTTCTCTTGCTGCCCATTGTGAATTGCTACTTACAGTGATCGTGAAAGCCAGCAGCGGGCCGCGGTACGTGGTGGGGTGTCGCAGCAAGGTGGACAAGAGCAAGCTCACAGCCGGCACGCGAGTGGCGCTCGACATGACCACGCTCACCATCATGCGCGCGCTGCCGCGAGAGGTGAGTAGAGCAGATGGTTACAGTATCACGATGTGACGTGCTTCTCTGCTGACTGACCGGATGCAGCCTGCTGCTATCCACTCCAGTGGCCGTGGCCGTGACCACGCTCACCATCATGCGCGCGCTGCCGCGAGAGGTGAGTATAGTAGGCGGTTGCTGTATCAGAATGTGAGCTGTTACTATTCGCTCGAGTGGCGCTCGACATGGCCACGCTGGCTACAGTGCCATCAGCTGGCTGGGCGACCAGATCCGCGAGCTGCAGGAGGCCATCGAGCTTCCCCTCATTAACCCCGAGCTCTTCCTTCTCCCCCCCCCCCCCTCTCCCACACTCACCCAGGTTGACCCCCTGGTGTACAACATGCTTCATGAAGATCCCGGCAATGTCAGCTACTCTGCCATCGGCGGGCTGGGCGACCAGATCCGCGAGCTGCGGGAGTCCATCGAGCTGCCGCTCATGAACCCCGAGCTCTTCCTGCGCGTGGGCATCAAGCCGCCCAAGGGCGTGCTGCTCTACGGCCCGCCTGGCACGGGCAAGACCCTGCTGGCACGAGCAATCGCCAGCAATATTGACGCAAACTTCCTCAAGGTGGGTTCTTGCTGAAGGTGGTTAGAGAGAGGGCTCATGTTAGATCAGAGAGGTTCCCAGCTATGCGTAAAACCATCAGCCATGTGTAAAACCATCAGCCATGCAAAATGTTTATGGGTTCTTCGTGTGATGGGATTCTACCTTGCTTCAATACAATCTCAGGTCGTGTCGAGCGCCATAGTGGACAAGTACATTGGGGAGAGCGCCCGGTTGATCCGGGAGATGTTGAACTATGCGCGCGACCACCAGCCGTGCATCATCTTCATGGACGAGATTGTGGTTCTTATGCTCCTTGCTTTACACCCCTTCCAGGTCGTGTCGAGCGCCATAGTCGACAAGTACATCGGAGAAAGTGCTCGTCTCATTCGCGAGATGTTCAACTATGCGCGCGACCACCAGCCGTGCATCATCTTCATGGACGAGATCGACGCCATTGGCGGGCGGCGCTTCAGCGAGGGCACAAGTGCTGACAGAGAGATCCAACGCACGCTCATGGAGCTGCTCAACCAATTGGACGGCTTCGATCAGCTCGGACGGGTATGCTGCGTGACGAATATTGTTCCTTTCCTGGTGCTGTATTGCATGCGTTTTTTTTCATTACAATGCAGTGTGTGGGTCTTCTCAGCACCTCTTCTCAGCACCTCTACTCCACACCTCCCTCCACTCCATCCGTCCGTCCACATGAAGATGATCGCGGATACCAACAGGCCAGACGTCCTTCAGCCTGCTCTGCTTCTTCCCGAGCGCCTGAATCACAAGACAGAGATTCCCTCTCCGTTCTTGCCCTACCCTCCACTCCGTTTGTTGCATCCACTCCCTGCGTTTGCACCCTCCATCTGTGCCGTCCCCTTCATTGCAGGTGAAAATGATCATGGCCACCAACCGGCCAGACGTGCTTGACCCTGCTCTGCTGCGCCCGGGTCGTCTGGACCGCAAGATTGAGATCCCGCTGCCCAATGAGCAGGGGCGCATCGAGGTGCTCAAGATCCACGCGCTGGGCATCACCAAGCATGGAGAGATCGACTACGAGGCCATCGTCAAGCTCGCCGAGGTCAGCCCTTGCTCCCCACTCCCTTACCTCGCTCCTTACCCGTTTCGCTTTCCCGTTCCTTGCATTCGGGTAAGGTTCCCATTCAGAAGTGCCCCAGGCGCATCACCCAATAATCTTTCCTGGTTGTGATTTGGATGACCGCTGGTCTTGCTTTGCATGCAGGGTTTCAATGGTGCTGATTTGCGCAATGTCTGCACAGAGGCAGGAATGTTCGCCATTAGAGATGATCGTGACTACGTCGTCCATGAAGATTTCATGAAGGTGTGTGTTTTTTTAAGGGGATGCTCGATTGTGTTTGTTTGGGTGCAAGGAAGTTAGATGTGATTCATTTCCCACACCTTTCTTATCTGCTTTACATTGCACCCTCCCATTCCCTTTACAGGCGGTGCGCAAGATCACTGATGCCAAGAAACTGGAGTCAAGCGCTTCTTATTCTGCAGACTTTGGAAAGGACTAATCTGTATCTTGGCTGTAATAAACAACATAATTTGTTGCCCATTCGACATGGAAGCGTAGCTACATAAATGCATCGAGCGTGTTACTGTAGAAATTCACGGTGGTCTCGAGGAGCTGTTTTACTTTCCACGTGTCAGTCCGCTGTTTCCTGCGTGTCAAGCCCGGCTAACCCCAGGCTCTGCATGGCGGCTCGGATGATTCTTCTGGCCCCTCAAACCTGGCTTTACGGCATTCTCGAGGCAACAGATCTCCATGGCGCCTCGAAACTGGCGTAGGCGCGCCGCCATGGGGAATTGCAAATACACGCGTCCTTCTTCGCTTCTCCCTCACATCACCTTATCTCAAAGCGCCAAGCCGCGCCATTCTCAATGCTCGGCTTGATGAGAGCTCTTCCCTTGGCGAGGCTCAGCGGAGCCCGCTGGAGGCTCTCCTTTCTCCGCAGCAGCTGCCGTTGAAGCCTGAATGATCGACCTCGGGACCCCACTTGACCCCACTGATAATGCTAACGAAGATCCTGACTTGCCTCGGGTTTTGCTATTTTCCAGAGACTTGCTCCTGACGTCTCCTTTCACGTGCTTCTCGCCCAGTTTGTCATTCCCAATGCTTCTCACACTCTAGCCTAGTTCTTAGTTCTCTCTTCCTGGGTTGACGTCTCTTGGTTGCCTCTTTTTCGACAAGTCCAATCTCGTGTCAGATCTCGGCGTAATCGAGGGGGCTAGCAGGGGTCTCTACGGGAAATAGACTCCTCTAGGCCGCTGCTTATCAGCATTCAGCCTCTAGACCAGCCGTGGATATCGAAGGATAAGGCAGGCCCTTGCTGCGTGGCTTCATCTGGATTTTACCGCTGAGGTACTAGATTTCGCGCGTCTTTTGACCACTGGTAGTTAATCTTACCGTCCTTCTGTTGTGAACTGTTGTCAAAATTCCATCGTGGCATGTTTCTAAGACTAGCCGAATATGTCTGTGGCAGGAATTCTCCTTGCAATGGAGGCCTCTGTGCCGCATGGCCAAGTTCAGGAGCACGCGTCGACGGCTGCTGAAGCGCTCATGGAGCTCGGATGTCGCTCCACTTCGTCTGAAGAGGTTGAAGGCGATTCTGAACGGACAGCCGAACGGGACGTGGAACCCGTGACAGCTCAAGGCGATGAGGAACGGGCTGGTGAACGGAATGCTTCACCGACAGCTGAACTGACAGCTGAAGGCGGTGCTGAGCCCAAGATAGTAGCTCAAGGCGATCCTGAATCGATGGTGGCGAGTTCCACGCTTCACGGCAAAAGTCAAGATCACTCCCCTGCTTATGTCGCGGATGAGTCCCCCAAGGGAGTCGAGGATGATGCCGTGTTGCGGGAAGCTGGTGAGGGGGAAAGAATGGAGCTAGACGTTGGTGACGCTGCTGAGAAATACGAGAAAGATTTTACTGATGAGAAAGATCGGCGAAGTCTGAATGTCGCGGAGGGGTCTCGCCAGGACGAGACGCACATCGCAGGGAACGAGGACGCGACCGAGGAGAGGCGAAGCGACAAGGCGTCATCCCCTCCCCAGAAAGTCTTGCACGCACATCATGTGGGTGATGACGACCAACCAGCGGATGACCATGTCGAGCGCACCGGAGATCACGAGGATCGCGTGGCGAAGCGGATCATCAGCAGCAGCCCTCTAACTCCTGCGGGAACTCAAACGCCGCAGGCGGCAGAAACCAGATCGGTGCAGACGCCTGCCACGCAGCCGCCGCAGCACACGCAGTCGGGGCTGACCGTCCCTGGAGTGCCAATGCAACCCGGCCTTCCGTTACATGGTACCTTTGTAACCCTGGTGTTCATTTTCCGAGGAGCCGTTCTCAGCTGACCGTTCTGGAGCCTCTGCTGCCTTTTTGAACTCTCCTTTTTTTTAGTATCCCGTCTCCTTTTCCCCCGTGCGTGTTTCCCGATGCGTGACTCGGCTTGTGTGGCTTGTGTCTTTGGCAGTGCCAGACGGCGCGCTGGTGTCGCTGGTGCCGGCCGCTCCCGAGGACGGGCAGCTGTGGATCCAGCCGTCGCAATTCGTGGCGGCGCCGCAATTCTTCGGCGGAGGGCAATTTGTGGGCGGAGCGCAATTGATGGGGGGAGCGCAACTCGTGAGCGCTCCTGGACTCGGCGGCGGCATGATGCAAGCGGGGCCTCTTTCGTTCTTCCGCGCATCGTCTTTCTCCGCTCCTGTTTCCGCGACGGGCGTTGAGGGAACGTTCGGCGGCGACGGAGACAACGCAACAGCGCGTGGCGTTTCAGGGGATTTATTCGGCGGGAACGCGGGCGATGAGGTGATCGAAGGCTCGTGGGACGACCTGATCATCTGCACTCCCACCGGCGGGTTTCACGGCGGGTTACACGGCGGGCTTCATGGCGGGATACACGGGCAGATGGGCTGGGGGGGGGAGCGAACCAGCCGAGGGGGTCGCCGCACGCAGCTATGGGAGGGCGACCCGCAGCTCGTGTACCGCCTGCAACAGAGTTACCACGCAGAAGACACCGCTGTGGCAGATCCGAAAGCCGACCCAACGGTTCTTATAACCGGCGCTGAGAGCACCCCCGTTCGAGACGACGGGGAAGAGGAGGATTTGCACGCGGGAACTCGGGAAGCGCGGGAAGCTCGGGAAGCTGCGACGCCCCCAGGGATGGTACCTGAGACCAGGGATATCGCGGAGACGGCTAGAGCGGGGGATAATATTGCGGGGGCACAGTTGCCGCTGCAGGTGAAAGTGGAATTCCCGACGCCATCGCCTCGAGGCGGGCTGACCTCTCCTAGTAGCAGGGGCGGGTTGGGCTCTCCTAGCAGGGGCGGGCTGGGGTTCTCGTACCACTCGCCCATCCCGCTGTGCTCGCCGTCCCCGCTGCGCCTCTGCGCCATGGAGCTTGGGGACATGGCGGAGCCGAATCTGTGGCTGTCGCCGCCTGCCAGCACCAAGTACACGCTTGAGAAGCTTGGGGACTTCCCGCCGTTCTCGCCGCGACTGCCGGCGATCATGCGCGGCTACAGCGGTGAGCTTGCGAGGGGCACACTGAGTGGAAGGATTAATTGCGATATGGGCTGCAGCAAGGGTGCTTTGACTGAAAGCTTCTTGTTGCACGCCACCCTTTTGCTTACGGCGCTACGATTTCGTGTTTTTGTTTGTTTGTTTGTACATATCTCGCAGCAGGGTTGCCGTACCTGGACCCAAGCGCGCACCAGCAGGCCGTCAGGATGTCGCCGTCTAGGGGAGCGCCGTCGGGATTCGCCCCGCCGCAAGCCCCGGGCGGACCAAGCGCCGACGCCACAGAAAGCCCGCCAGCCCCCTCCGCCGATTCCGCCGTTCCGCAATCCGGTCTTCCAGCGGACGAGAGAGCCGCAGCTGCTACGCGGAAAACGTCGGACGATCGGGAGCCGACGAACGATGGTGAGACTAGGGGGAGGGCAGATGACGCGCCTGATCAAGTGGGTGCGAGGAGGGAGGGCGGGGCGGCGGAATTGGCGCGGATGGTCAGCGCGCCGGGGAGCGGAGTGAGATACGTTGGGATGCGCGGGCGGTCGCTGTTGCAGCAGTGCCTCATCATGGGCGCAGAGCAGCGCGCAATTCGCGCGACGGCCGGTGGTGGTGGTAGCGGCGATGGCGGTGGTAGCGCCGATGTTGCTGGTGGTGCTGCTGCAAGCGAGCGTGGACCCGGTGTTTCTGGTGGTGGCGGTGGTGCTGCTGCACCCGACCGCACTGTCGAAGGGAACGAGAACGATGAGAGGGGCGAAGAGGACGAGAATGGCGAGAGGGGCGAGAAAACTGCGAAGACTGGGGATGCAGAGGGCCGTGCGGCGGGTGTGAGCCCGTCAGTGCTGAAATGGAGAGCGGCGGATACTAACGATCGTGACTTGTGCCCAGACCACCCGAGGATGGCACTTGACGCGGATTCGACTGCCGCGCACGCCTCTCCCGTGCGTCCAGCCCGACAGGATCAGCCTGGGGAATTGCCCAGTGATATTGGTGCTGCGAGCCGCAGCCATGTGCAAGAGAGCAACGTGGGCAGTGATACGAGGGTGACTGAGGGAGGACCCTGCACGCAAGTGTATGGAGGGGAGTCGCAGCAGCACGTTTTGGGAGTGTCGGGCGAGGCTCCGAGCTGTCGCAAAGAGGCTCTTACGAACTGTGGCGAACATTTGTCGCGGGCGTATGTTACCACCGGCCGGAGGTCGTTTGTGGTTGGCTCGTTAGGCTCAACCCTTACGGAACGCGTCAATGTACTTGAACACAAACCAACAACGAGTACAAGCGATAGCGAGGATGGCGAGACCGAAACTGCAAATTCGGACGGAGGCAATTCCAGCGTCAACATTCACGCCTCATCCCATCTTGACAGCGGAGGCGCGGATTCGAACGACGATGGGTCAGGCGTGGTTGAGAAGGACCAGGGCGCGCGGGAGGGAGAGGGGGAGGTGGAAGGGGGAGAGCACAGCGCCTTGGGAGCAGCCGCGGGATCGAACGGCGCTAAAGGCGGTGGGGACGTGGGCGAAGGTGACAACAGCGGTGGTGACAACAGAGGGGCCTCACAGACTGCGCGAGCTCGGCCGGCGGAAGACGGTAGCCGGGCGTTGGAAATGCCGGCGGAAGAACAGCCGTCCCTTTCATTGGGGGGCGCGGAAAGAAGGGGCGCGGAGCGTACGGGTGCGGAACGTACAGGCGCAGAAAGGACCCACAAAAGGGACGCGGGCTTGGTGAAGCCGCAGCCGCGCAGGGCGCTGAGCGGAAACCCCGCGATTTCCGCGTCCTTCTCGATTCCCGCATCCCCCGCTTCCGGCTCCCCCCTTTTGGCGCCACCTGAGCCGAGTGTATCCCAGTCCGCTGGCAGGGAGCGTCCAGCGGGGCGGGCGCCTGCCCTGCAGCCTGGAGCGCTTGTGCCTCAATTGCAGCCTGCGGTACAGCCACATTTGGGGAAACAGCCAATGAATGGCGGCCAAGGAGGTTTGGAGTGCGGTAGCCGCACGGCGAGTGGTGGGAGGGAGCCGGTTGGGAGAGATGCGGCTGAAGGTGACCTGGCGTCAGGCGAAGCACGGGAGAAGCTTCCCATGGCACGCGAGGGGTCAAAGCGCGCCAAGTCTCAGGAGATTGGGGGAAGTCGAGGTGATGAGGGGGGAAGAGGAGAAAGAAGAGGAGGAGGAGGAGGAGGAGGAAGAGGAGGGGTAGGAGGAGGAAGAGGAGGAGGGGTAGGAGGAGGAAGGGGAGGGGTAGGAGGAGGAAGAGGAGGGGTAGGAGGAGGAAGGGGAGGGGTTGATTTGGGGGATGGAAGTGGTGTGGGGGGGACTGCAACAGCAGCAGGGAATGCGTCCATTGTTCCTTGGCATCCCAGCAACTCACCCGCAGCTACTAGTGGGGCGGCTTGTATGGGGTTTCCAGTGTACTCGCCCCAATTGCCTCCTATTGGTAGCTACTTCGTTATGAGCCCTCTGCAGCAGCATCATTTGAGCCCAATGCAGCAGCAGCAGCAGCAGCAGTTTCAAATCTGCTCCCTGCCGCCACAGCGTCACTTGAGCCCAATGCAGCAGCAGCAGCAGGTGCAAATCTGCTCCCTGCCGCCACAGCATCAAATGCACGCCATGGCCCCTCAACACCAAACATTCGCCCCCCAGCAGCAGCAATACATGCATGCCGTGCCGCCGCATCCGCACGCACTCCCGCCCCAGCAGCTGCAGCAGCAGTACGTGCATGCCTTGCCCCATGGCCCATCTCCACCCAGGCCCCTGCCGCCTCTCCCCGTGCCTGTTGTCATCGGTTCGCCCATTCTCCACGGCTCCCATCGCCCCCCAGCTTCTCGTGGGAACCAAGGGCAAGCAGTGATGATGCAAGGGGCGTCGGCCATTCCCTTAGCACCAGGCGCCTACCTCCAGCCTGCTGCTTCCACAGGTGGGGTGTCTTCAGGAGGTGGGAGAGAAGGGGGAGGAAGAGGGGAAGGAAGCAGAGCGGAGGGAGGCCAAGGGGAGGGAGGACGAGCGAGTAAGACATCACGAGGGGTACGAACCCCTTCGCCCCAGTCCTCAGCAAGTGCCTCCTTCCGCCCTTCCCCAGTCCACCCTCCCCCTCCCCCTGTGTACTCCCCGGCTGCTTCCTCCTGGGTGCCGTTTGCCCTGCCCCCTGCTGCCTCTGTTGGTTTGGAAACGGGTAAGCTTCCAATTTACCCGATAAAACCTGGGGTGCAGAAGGCTCACGCCAGGAGGAGGGATGTTCGCCCGGATGTGTCAGGCGCAGGCGAACAGCAAGTGGAGAGCTTGCAAGAGCAGCAGCAGCGCCATATGCAGCAGGTGCAGGAGGTGCTAGCATACAGGCAAATGGTCGCAGCTACGAATAAGCCAAAAACGTGGGGTCAAGGGCACGTGAGAATGCCATCAGCAGCAGCAGCAGCAGCACCAGCAGCAGCAGTGCTAGCAGCAGCACCAGCAGCAGCAGTAGCAGCAGCAGCAAAAGCACAAGAAGTGCCACCAGCAGCAACAGGCCCAGTGTCCCTCACTCTGTCTCTACAGAGCAACAGCAGCAGCAGCGGCACCAGAGCTCAGCAACCCCTGGACCCTCAACCGATTCGCGGCGCACAGCAAGCCCTTGCAGCACAAGCCACTGGCTTGCCACCAACCCTTGGCGCAGCAGCACCAACGCCCGGTGCACAGCCAGCTCTTGCATCTCAAGCCATTGGCTTGCGACCAGCCCTCGGCGGCGCAGCAGCACCACCCCCCGGCGCACAGCAAAGTGGTGCAGCAGGGGAGGGGTGGCAGCAGAGGCAGCTGCAGGCCCACGAGTTGAGGCGGCAAAGGGTGCAGAAGATTCACCAGCAGCAACAGCAGCACCCGCACTCGCCCACTCAGTTCCGGCAGTTGGCTGATCTGCAGGCGCAGATTCATAAGCAGCAGCAGATGCAGAGCCAGAGGCTGTCAGTGCTGCCACACCAGCAGCAGCACCCCCAGCAGCAGCAGCAGCAGCACCTCCAGCAGCAGGTTCAGCAGGTGCAGCAGCAGCAGCAGCAGCAAGCGCCAAGGCTTATGCTGGGTGTGAAGCAAGAGAGGGTTGAGCAGGGCGGGAGGGCAGACTCGCACTACCAGCCGCAGGTACTGGGAGACAGGCAGGGGCTGGCGAACCATATGCAAGGGCAGGGAGGGGTGGGAGGAGGCGGAGGCACGGGTGGGGTGCACTGGGGGGGGGGCATGCGGGGGATGGGGGGGATGCAGGGGATGGAGCCAGGAAGGAGGGAGACCAGCCTGAGGCTCCTCAAGAGGAAGCGGGCGTTGAAGGAGGTGGTGGGTGGGGCAGGCGCGGCTTTGAGGGCGTGTAACAGTGAAGGGGAGTCAGGAGGCGTGCCTTATCAGCGGCAGGGGCTTCCTGCTTATCAGCAGCAGCAGATGGGGCCGGCTTATCAGAGCCAGTTGCTACCTTATCAGCAGCAGCAGTCTACTTATCAGCAGCAGCAGCAGCAGCAGCAGCCTGCTTATCAACACCAACCGGAGGTTACAGGCATGGGAACAGGCACGAGTGTAGGTCCGGATGGAGGCATGGGTGCAGGCTCGGCAACAGGGATGGGAACGGGGATGGACGTTGGCGGCTATCCTGCTGACGTCATGGGGGGAATGAACCCAGAGGATGACGTCATAGACATGCATGTGGGGATAGGTGGGTTGGGGGACGAGGGGATGTGTGCCATGGGGGAAGGGGGAGGGGCGGAGGGGGACGGGGGAGGGGCGGAGGTGGATGGGGGAGAGGAGTGCAAGGCTTCGGAGGCAATCCTGTCAGCAGCGGCGGCTGCGGCAGCAGCAGCACAGGCAGTGGCAGGTGGAGCCGGAGAGGGGGGAGGAGGCGAGGGGGAGAGGGAGCCTCCTGTCAAGTCAAGGTTCAGGGGCGTAAGCCATCACAGGTCAGTGCTGAGTCACGAAAGGTCAGCGCTGAGATGGCAGGCCTATCCGTTGTCAAATGGCTGATTCTGCTGGTTCGCCCTCTTTCCCCCCTGTGCGCGACCATCCACCCCCTGACTCCCCCGCCCCCCCCCCTCCCCCCCCTCCCCCCCCCTCCCCCTCGCACTCTCTCCTCCGTGGCTTTTCTTGCAGGCTGACTAAGCGGTGGGAAGCCTCTCTCTGGACCAACAAGAAGCAGCTCTACCTGGGTGAGCGGATACGTGACAGGTTTAGGTTGAGGGTATTAGATTCTCTCTCTCTTTGTCGATCAGGCCTGAGCCAACAGATCGGAGATGATTTTGTCTGAGCGCGGTCGTTTGTCCACACCACCTGTCTCACTCCAATCAGGAGGCTACGATGCAGAGGAGAAGGCGGCTCGCGCGTATGACATAGCAGCGCTGGCATGCAAGGGGGCAGAGGCCATCACCAACTACCCGAAGGATACCTATGCGGATGTTATTGGGGAGTACCTCGGGATCTCCTGTGAAGCGCTCATTGCGAAGCTGCGCAGGGAAAGCTCGTAAGTTGCACTTTGATGCTCTAACATTTTGCGCCAGATAAACTGTTCAAAGGAATCTGCAGATGACTTCTGATTCAAGCATGGCTGTTGTACCCAGACTCCGGGACACACTGCAATGCTCCCTTCGCTTGTGCCAAATCCTCCAGGACGATCTCGTGCAGTTGATAGTACCCAGGAGTGTCGGGCCAGGAGGACGTGGTGCGATGGTAGTGCAGCGGGTGGTGCGATGGTGAATGTCTTAAGACTCCCTTCTAGCTTCCCTCCTCCCCTTCGCCCCCTTCCAAATGTTTCCTCCCCTTCGCCCCCTTCCAAATGTTTCCTCCCCTTCGCCCCCTTCCAAATGTTTCCTCCCCTTCGCCCCCTTCCAAATGTTTCCTCCCCTTCGCCCCCTTCCAAATGTTTCCTCCCCTTCGCCCCCTTCCAAATGTTTCCTCCCCTTCGCCCCCTTCCAAATGTTTCCTCCCCTTCGCCCCCTTCCAAATGTTTCCTCCCCTTCGCCCACTCAGGGCGTTCTCTAGAGGTCGCTCCAAGTACCGGGGCGTGTCGGGCCAGGAGGGGCGGTGGGAGGCGCGCATCGGGTCATACTTTGGGCGGCGGAACGTGTCTCTGGGGGTATACGAGACGGAGGAGGCGGCGGCGGAGCAGTACGACCGGGCGCTGATCATCCAGAAGGGCACGCGGGCCAAGACCAACTTCTGCATCTCCAAATACATTGCAGAGCACCTGCAGCACGTGAGTGCGTGGGGTTGTGCATGAGAGCGTGTGTGAGTGCGACATGAGGCCCTGTCTGCATACGGGGGTGTATGAGGCAGGAGGCAGACAGGGCGTTCCCATCTTGTGGGTCTGTGCATACCCGACTGCGTGTGTGCATACCCGACTGCGTGTGTGCATACCCGACTGCGTGTGTGCATACCCGACTGCGTGTGTGCATACCCGACTGCGTGTGTGCATACCTGCTTGCGTGTGTGCATACCTGCTTGCGTGTGTGCTTGTTTGCTTGTGCTTCCAATATGGCTTTCCATGTTGTGGTGGATGGGACATCTCATTTCTGCATCCTCGGCTCTTGCTTGAGGAGCAGGGCCAGGAAGGAGCGCTGTTCCCCAGCCAGCAGCCCCAGTCATCTGGTAGCAGAGCGTGTCTTACCCAGGGAGCAGCAACAGAGATCCCCCCAGCTGCACCATCAGCATCTTCCGCTTACCCGCTGTCAGCTGCGGTGGCAGCTGCTGCTGCAGCAGCAGCAGCAGGAGGAGGAGCAGGAGGAGGAGCAACTGGGGAAGGGCATGGTGGAGTGCGGTTCGGAGGGGTGAAAAAGGGTCGGATTACTCCAGGCTTTGATGCGCTGTACCGCCGGGCGATGGCGGAGATAGTAGCCAGCTCCGCTCCCTTCGCTGCGGAGGAGCAGGACAGCAGGCCGGCTGTGGAAGAGTGACTGGCCTGCTGGGCTCTCTGAAACTACTTCTGAGGCGCCTAAAAAGAGTGAGTGGCCTGCTGGGGTCTGAAGTGCGGCCAAGGTGATTGTCACATTGCAGTCAAGCCATGGTTGGCTTCACGGGCAGCCATGCTTTAAGTTGTGGGCAACCATGGTTGATTTTGTTGGCAACTACGGTTTTTGTGAGCAACCATGGTTGATTTTGTGGGCAGCTATGGTTGATTTTGTGGGCAGACCTGCCTGCTCCCCGTTGGCTTCTGAAGAGCAGGACTACAGGCCGGTTGCGAGAGGGTGCCTGCTGGTGTTAAGGATGCTGGGCTGGAGCCATTGCTGCTGGCATTTAATTAATTGGCGGTTTCGTCATACTGTTCGCCTTTAGTGCTGGGATGGGATACTTTTGTCATGGCAGGATGGGTAGTTTGATTGAAGCCTGATTCTTTTGATGCTTGGATTAGGTCATCATATCATAGACATTCAAGAAAATTTTCAACACTACTGCATAGCCAAAGCAAGCACAGGTTCAATTGTCTGGATAACATGGTACAACTAGTTAGCCCAGTGGTCCATTGGATGCCAGGGGGAATGGTGACTCACCATTGGTGAGAGGGCAACGAGCTCTAATGCTGCTGTCATGCTGCTGCTCCTGCAGCCAGCTCCTGCTACTCGGTGTTCTGTTGTAGATAGGACCTTCACTGCATATTCATGCTACCGTACTATACTGTGACAGCAAATCCATAACATGTTGTGTGCTTTATTCTCCTTCAGCCTTGAGTATCGGCACCACCAGGGGATGCATCTGTGCCATGTACACTATCGCCCACCTGTTGGCAATCAGGCACATAAAACGCAGAACATATAACATAGATTGGTGCATGAAATGTAGCCACATGACGCCCGGAGGCATGCATTTGAACACAAACCATCCTTGGGTACGAGATACAGCTACATGGAACATGGACACATGGACACATGGGATTTCAGGATATGGAACAACAGAACGTCAGGAAATGAGAGAGATAGGGTAAGGGAATGAGGAAGGCTGAAGGGAAGGAGGGAGGGGGAAAGAGGAAGAGAGAAGGGCGCATGAGGAGGCTGGGTGTCGTTCGAGGTAAGGGCGCGGGACTGGCTAGTAACAGCAAGAGGCTGACGTAGCCGAGAAACAGGAGGGGGGCTCGGAGCACTCACGAGAGCCAACAGCAGATAGTTGCGGTGATGACCAGCGTGACATGCAGCCTGATGCACGACCAGGGGACGAAACGAGCAGGGGAAAGAACGAACGGGGATTGACATTTTGGAAAACGGTTGCGTCCCCGATGTAGAAAGGGGTGTTGGGAGGAAAGGAAGGGCTTCACATAACAGACCCGACGGGAAAACGGCTCGGGAAACGAATCTAGACACGCAATGATGCGCAGCTGGTTGTTAAGACGCAGATTGAAATCGCCCAGCAACAGCGACACCAGGAAAGGAACACAAAAATGTGACGAAAATGAGAGCGGAAAGGGATGAGGCTGGATAAACGTACAGGTTCGTTGACGGGCCTTTATCGTAGAGAACCCTAACGAGCACGCAGCCTAGGAAGCCCAAAGCGAAGAAGATGAGCGTGATGACCAGAAACGCCGCCATGCTGGTAACCGTGTAACACTCGCTAGGCCGTTTGAGAAAACCTAGATCAGGAGCTCACGGTCAGAAAAGCTTCAGCCTGTAATGAATGAGCACGTGAGACCAAAGAAACACGACATTGCTTGTGATCGCCTGTTAGATCCGACTAGAGGTTGCTGACATGGCAGCATGATTCCGTGATCGTAAGACCTCTATACCATAAGACGCAGGCCATTCGGACAATAAAAATAACCTGATAGCTGATATTTGAATTCGACAGGCAGGAAAAAATGACTAGGCCTTGGATAACGAACCTGTGAGGAGCTTGCCACGTCCTCAGCAGACTAGAGTTTCCAGGGTCAGGAGAGAGAAAAAAACAATCTACGACTGTGGAAGCTCGAATCGGTCCGACCGGCGGCAGCCCAGAGTTTATCTCCAACTGAGGTCGCAGTGATCCGGGGACGAACGGACGTTAGAGCCTGAAACCGTTGTACTCAAGGGAATATATATGGTAGCAGCATAAAGTGAAGTGCGTGATGGTTGAGCTCGGCAATAACTATGTCGGCTGACAGCAGCGCGGGAGGGCAGGGGCAAGGATTAGGGTGTTGTACGCGTTAATAGTTCATCGAGGAAGGCGTAACAGTATGTCCATTTTGTGAATGTTACTAAAGTACAAGGGCATGTGACCTCATGAAAGGGCTACTCGCCCTCAATTGATGCCCTGTGAAACATCTACTCTCAATATTCTGCATTCAGAATGTGGAACCCAATACACCATAAAGAAAGGGTGCCAATAAGAGTAATGTAATATGGATGGCAAAGGAGTGATAATCAACACCCTTGGAAGCGCATGACATCATTGGATGACACTGACATCATTGAGTGTCACGCCAAGTCATGTCATCCCGTACCGTGCAAGAAAGCAGTGTTGCCGAGGTGGCAACATGCCGCACTGCTCGGCTAGATCAAAGCCATCGCCCACCTCCATTTCTTTCCCACTCTCTCCCCACCACACTTCATGCCCACCACCTTTTTACTACACACACAGGCATGCCACATATGAAAACATCAACACCTACACACCTAAAAACCTACACCCACCGACACATACGCACTCACTTACACACACCCAAGCGTCCTCCCTCGGCTTATCAAAAACCGATTTCCACTCTGGCTATCACCTTTGTCACTGATGCCACTGCCGCCAATGCCACTGTTACCAGCACTGCCAGCTCTGCTCCACTCGCTCGGTCCTCACCTACCCGCCACATGCCCCACTGCCACTCCCCTCACCCGATTAAGCAACCTCAGCAAACTACTCACACAGCGGCATTTCCACCGCCGCTACCATCACCACCATCACCACCATCACCACCATTCCCACCATCACCACCATCGCCACCATCACCACCATTCCCTCCACCATTATTGCCATCCTTGCTCCCATCACTGCTACCACTGTCCCCACCACCGCTGCTGCTGTTCCCAAGGTCCACTTTGAAGATGTAAGTGGCCCAGTTGGTCCACTCCGATCTCGGCTGCCCCGCCACGTACTGCACTGCTGCCCACGCGTTGCCTTCCTCGTCGATCGTCGCTGTCATGTAGTCGCCGTAGCGGTTGACACCTTCCCTGTAGCCTGGAGAGCACAAGTTGCAAGGGGAAAAGAGGGTGCAGGGGGTGGCCGTAAGGGTGCTTCTGAAGTGGCCCGCCACATACGGTTTCGGGTTGAGGATAAGGTGGTGATCAAAGGCATGTGTGTACGTTAGGCTCGGTTCGAGGGAAGGAAGTAGCAATCAACCTACCGTTGTAATCATCCAGGGGGGCTTTCCCCGGGCCGGTAACCACCACCCGGCCCACATCCACGTTGGCGTTGACAGTGGCGTAGGCAGCAGAGGGGTAGAACGAGACTCCTGCCAGCGCTGTTGCAATGATGCCCTTGCCATGCCTGGTAGGAAGAAGGGGAGGGGAGGGGAGGGGAGGGCGACCAAGGCTTCAGAAGAGCATAGGCAGCAGAAGGGCGGAAGAGAAGAGGGCCCTGGCAGCGTATTTTGAGTCGACTCAAAATACAGCAGAAGGGCGGAAGTGAAGAGGGCCCTGGCAGCGATGCTGCAATGATGCCCATTCCGTGCTGGGGAAGGGCAGGCCCGAAATCATAACAAGGCGTTGGGATTGACAAAAAGGCGTGCGAGAGAACGAACGCTAAAAATTCGCCCACCACTCAAGATCGCCCAACACCCAAGATCGCCCAACTCCACAGGTCGCCCAATCCCCAAGGTCGCCCAACACCCAAGGTCACCCAAGGTCCTTTCCCACCCCCTCTATTCTCAACCATCTCCTCTCACCCCACTCTTCCCCCGCCACCCTGTCCCCCGCCCTCTCTTCGCCTCACCTGTTGAGCGCAATCATCGGCTGAATGAGGCTGTTCCCGCCACCCACTCCCACCACTTTGAACCGCTCCAGATACACCCGAAACGGCCTCCACTTGCGCTTGAGCCTGAGGGACAACCGGAGCCGCACCACCACCGCTGAGGCACTCATCTCCTTGCCAAAGGCCGACATGAGGCTGACCCACATCTGCCTGGTCCCAGGAGACACCACCACCCCTCGAGCGTCAACCGATGAAGGCCCGATTGGGGCGACAGTTTTGTTCAATTTCCAGCCGAGCGGTATCGGGCCGTTTTTTTGCGTGACGGGCAGCGGTTGGAAGTAGGGCGGCGTGTAGACTGCGGCACAGTGTGGCTCCACGGTGGATTCTGCTTCCGATGTGCCCAGTGCACTTGTACCCGTTATAGCAAAGGCACCCATTACTGTGTAGTTGGCCACAAGCACGGTTTCGTTAGGAGCACTGTTGAAATTGTTACCCGACCATCCGAAATACATGGTGCCTCCATGGCTGTAGTCGTATTTTCCGTCTGCAGCAACCCTCTGAGGATAAATGGTGAAGGAAGGGTTACTGAGGTTCGCTGTATAGGGGATGACGAAGCGAAGAATGGTGGCATTTTCGGGCCTGTCAAGCTGAGACTTGGATATGGCACTGGATGGGGGAAGGGGGAGTGGGTTGGGAGCCGGGGAGGGGGGAGGAGGGGGGGAGAGGCACGGGTGAGCAAAAACATTTGGGATGCATGTGTCTACACACGCTGTGCACGCAAAAGCATGCATGCTCGCAGCAAGAGTTATTTCCTTGCTGCATAGGGTGAAGTCACTGGGAGCACCCCAGGGATCCTGTACGGGCTGCAGGTGGCGTCCTGGGGGTTATGCGTGCACTAACCCACCAACTCAACACGCCCTTTTAACCCAGGCCGTAGGCGGCCAAGAGTTTTCACATTGCTGACTCGGCACAAAGGCAGTTGCAGGAGGGTGGTGGTCAAAACTGCAATTCATGTGCTCCAGGGAAACAATGTGCTGCTCTTCGAAACAATGTACGATAACTCATTATATGCGTGACGTTTTTGAGAATTCGAAAAAACACACTGAGAATTCTCAAAAACACCCTGAGAATTCTAAAAACCACCCTTGAGAATTCTAAAAAACACCCTGAGAATTCTCAAAAACACCCTGAGAATTCTCAAAAACACCCTGCAATGCACGATAACTCACTATATGCATGACCCGAAGAACTTGTCAAACGTTTCCGGAAACTGGTTCACCGACACATAGAATCCTGAAGGGCGAGGAGGGAAGCGCGAGGTGAGAGGAGGAGAGAGAGGCGAAATGAGGGAGAAGGAAAGAAGGGGGAAGGGGCAGTACGAGGCGAAGGGGCGGTAAGTGGGGAGCGGTAAGGGAAGGTGAGGTAAGGGAAGTGGCTTTCCTTGAAAACACAAAGTGTATTCAAAGAAAGTGGATTGAGGGTCTGGGCTGAAGCCTCTTCCCTCTCTATACATGTGGATCGAGGGTCTGGGCTCGTATGGATGCTCTTAATAGGCAGTGTGAAAGCATGGGGGCTGGTACAATACATACACGTGGTGCACACGCATACCGTATCATGGGCGAGTATTGAGATGCCCTAAAACGCGAGGGAAGTGGTATAGGTGGTGCTACGTGCCATAGTCGTCAGTGCACGTACCGTGGGCATCAGTTCCGATTTGAGGGTAGTCCACTGAAAGGGGTTAGAAAAAGCGGGTAGAACAGGGGGGGCAGGGAAGTTGGGCAGCAGAGGGAGGGGGAGGGGGAGGGGGAGGGGGAGGGGGAGGAGGCTATGGCAATAAAGCAGGCACACACTACACTCGCGGAAGGTATGTATGCTAGTGGTGAGGTGAGTCTGCATGCTAGAATCCGACATACACATGGTGGCGAGGTGAGTATGTATGCATGCTATGGACTCCGACATACACATGGTGGCGAGGTGAGTATGTATGCATGCTATGGACTCCGACATACACATGGTGGCGAGGTGAGTATGTATGCATGCTATGGACTCCGACATACACATGGTGGCGAGGTGAGTATGTATGCATGCTATGGACTCCGACATACACATGGTGGTGAGTCGAGACGTGTTGAAGTGAAGCGGTGCCCTCCAGTCGGGGTTGGAGTTGATACCGTCGTTGCTGGGGAGGAAAAGGGGGAGATGGAAGGTAGATAGAGAGAGAAGAGGAGAGGAGGAGGGGGAGAGAAGATGTGAGGTGGCACGGGAGAGAGAGGAGAAGCTGGTCCAGTCGATGCTGGGAGGGGAGGAACAAGGGGAGAGGGGAGAGGGGAGAGGGGGCATACGATATGAGGGCCAGGGGATAGAATGATCAAGGGACGTACGAGCCAGGGATGAAGAAGAAGTTCCACGGTTGGGTGGGGTCGTCTGCAGTTGAAGCCGCCACTAGTAGCCCCGCTCCCGCTGTGGTGTTGCTTCGCCTCCTCGTTTGCCCAAACTTGTCAAACGTGTTGTTGAAACCGCCGGACTGGTGGGTAGGGAGAGGTGGGAGGGGTGGGAGGGGCGGGAGGGGTAGGAGGGGAGGGAGGGAGGGATGTTGAGGCCAGCAGCACTAGGAGTCTCACTCCCCACCGTGGTGTTGCCCCTCCCCCTCCCTTCTGCCCAAACTTGTCAAACGTGTTGCTGAAACCGCTGGACTGGTGGGTGGGAAGAGAAGAGATGGGAGGGGAGCACGTATGAATTTTTGAGGCGCCTCAAACATCGAACATATGGGAGGAGAGAACATATGGGAGGAGAGAACACATGGGAGGAGAGCCTACATGGGTCCCTGGGCGTGAGTACCTACATGGTATGGTCATACCATAAACGTCATAAGAGCAAGGCATCTACACACAACTGAACTACCATTGCATTTTATAATAAAATACCATATCCACATCACATTACATCAAATAAAGTAGTATCACCTCATTTTATTCCAGCAGCAGCACTCACGATCCAGTAGGTGATGAGGTAGAAACGCTTGGCCTTGCAGTCATAGACGCACGTCATGCCTCTGGTGTTGCCCCAACTTTCAGCACTTGCCACTCCACTGCACCCAGCAACACCACACAGCACCCAGCAGCACTCACAATCCAGTATGTGGTGAGGTAGAAGCGCCGGGCCTTGCGGTCATAGACGCACGTCATGTCGCCAATGTTGTCGCCAAAGACTGACGTGTTGTACGGCTCCCTCCGCTCCACCACCACTGGCAGCGCACCAAAGAACTGCCACCACGGATTGGGGTGGGGGGAAGAGAGGAAGGAAGGTTGAGGGGGGGGAAGGGTTGGGAGAGGGGAGGGGGGGAGGGGGAAGGGAATGGGGTGGTTGGGGGAGGAGGAGGGGGGGGGGTTTTAAGGAATGGGATTGGTGATTGTTTCATGGGATTCGAGCCTCTATGTAACGAGGTATACACTTGTGCATGAGTATATAATGCGCACATCTACATGCATGCGTGTGCGCTTCCATCTACTGTTTGTGCGTATAGGCCATCATGCTTGTCAGCGCGCTTGCCTCGTTGTGTGTTATGATCCGTGTGAGCTGTTTCCCCCGCGTGTCATACACAACCAAAGCTGACAACAGGAGGGGAGGAGGGGGGGATGCGAAAGCAGGGAGGGAGGAGGAGAGGGAACGGAGTGGAACCAACAGGAGTGAGAGGAGGGATGTATCATGGTGCAATGGATACATGCATGGATGCGGTGTTTCTTGTCTGAGCACCGTTGACGTAGGCATTAGTCTGGGCAAGTGTAAAAAGGACTTGATGAGGTGTAAGGAGTGGGGAGGGAGGCTCACCTTCGTTGACAGCATGGAGGATGTACCCATTTCCCATGCAAAGCGCAACGTCAGGAGGGGTGACACGGACCTGAAACATAGAATATTGTAAACGAGATGTTTTCAAGTATATAGACTGAACTGAAATGTGTTCATGCACATCCAAAAGCTTAAATCGTTTTAAGAAGTTACTTACCACTGTATTGTTGTATTTAGGCGGTGTACCACTGTTCACTTCACTGTACATGCTTATTCCGGGAAACCCAACCGCCGGTTTCCGCTTCACCACTTGCTTCAGCTCCGTTGACCGCGCCGCGAACCACCCCACCTCCGCCAATCGCTCCTCCTGTTCGGGCAAAACGCGGAAGATTGGGGGGAAATGTGTATGGGCGCGCATGGTTTCGCGCAACCCCTGGTTGGCTTCGGGGGCCAAAATCTGCCATCGCAAATGTCGCCTACAGGTTGGATAACGCACCTGAATATTTACCTGAGCGTCAAATAAAGTGGGATACATATTGGCGCGCGTACCATCTGTAGCTCCAGCGGATCCACAGCAGGAGCCGGCGCGCTTGCCGGAGCCGCCGCAGACGGCGCAGCCGCGTCAGCCGGGGAGCTGCGCTCGCCGTTTCCAGCACCTCCCGCCTGCGCCTCTCGCAGGCGCTCCGCGATTCCGCCGCCGCCGCGCATCCGCGCAAGCGTCTCCTCCTTGCGCATCTCCAGCGAGTCGTGAGGATCACCGCCGATCAGCGCAGCGACATTGTCAAAATTCAAGCCTGTCGTTCCGCCTTCGGGCGAAACGTTGCTGGCGGAGCCATCGCCGCCAGAGTCGCCTCCGCTGTTGTCACTCCCGCTGTTATCACCTGAGCTATTGTCGCCGCTGGAACCGTCGTTGCCGTGGTTTCCGGAATCGTCAAACGGCGGAAGCTGCGCGGTTCCCGCGAACCAGAGCTGCTCCGTCATCTTGAAAATCTCCACGCGGTCGTCGGATCCGCGCAGCGGCGCAGTGACGACGCGCGTCGCCGCATTCGATCCGCGCGGCGGAACTACCAGCAGCAGAAGCAGGAGCAGCGGCATTGCCGCCTGGCGGTAGTCGAGGCGCGGAAAGCCGTGCGGAGCAGCCATTGCACTAATCAGTAGCAACTCAGAGACAACTGAGGGCAGTGCACTGAACTGTGAGTGAGAGCGCAGAGCAGCGCTTATCAGCACCAGGCCAAGGGCTTGCTGGTTTGATTGATGTGCTTGGAAAAGCTGGTGCACTGCTGCTTGAGGCTACGCATGACAGGGGGGGACCGATGTTCGATCTCACGGGGTCGAAGTTGGTTGGTTGGAACTGATGTTCGATTTCGGTGCTGATACGATAGCTGGGTAGGTACTGTACGGTACATGCGCCTTGTGGGTTGGCCCCACCGCCGCCCTGCGACTCGCCGGTTCGAGAAGAAGGCGGCTTCTTCGCCTTAATCACGTTTTCGCCTTAAGAACTTACTCGCCGTATGTATCAGCAAGCACCTAAATAGACCAACCACGCATTGTGGTCATGAATTCCACAAGGATCGAATGCGGCGACGCGCGTCGTCACTGCGCAAATGGATAATGCACACATGGTCGTCACTCCTCCGTCACTGCGCTTCAAATGCTCCGCAAGGATAAAAAATAATTCCTAGCATTAGTATGAGAAATCAAATTGGCCCAACTACGTTGCAAATGTTTTACCACATCCGTCTCCTCATTTTCCTGCATGCGGTCTAAACCACACACTTCCAAGGCACTGTGCAGTGCCTAACCAATCACCCCCTAAGCCTAAAACACGAAATTCTCCTCCACAGAGTTGTCCACATCCAGGTTGAACCCTCCCTTGGACACAATCTCCGAGAGCGAGGCGGCCGTGGCGTCGTCAATCCCCAGGAGCTCCCGCATCCTGCCGGCTGCACTGCTCTCAGCGTCGTGCTTGCTGAGGAAGAGCGAGTAGAGGTCCAGCAGCTCCTCCTTCACTGCCCATGTGAGGGATTCAGTTGCGGCGTCTGCCTTGTCGCACGCCAGCATGTTGTTCAGCACAGCAACCTGAGGAAGGGGGGGTCAAGTGGAGCATTTGAAGGGATTTGAAAGGGGGGTTGAGGGCATTGGAAGAGCAAGTAGAGGTCCAGCAGCTCCTCCTTCACCGCCCATGTGAGGGACCATGTGGCCGCCTCTGCCTGTCGCACGCCAGCATGTTGTTCAGCACATCAACCTGGGAGGAGACAGAAATGTTGTAGTAGCAAGACGCGGATGTCAACAGGACAGCACGGGCAGCCAAGGCATGGAGCGAGCCCAGTCTATGCAGACACACCCACACTCCAACCCTCCACTCACCACTTGGTCCGGCTTCTTCTGCCTGAGATTTGACACGGCCAGCACCAGCGCACCCTTGAGCCGCTCCCTCGCAATCTCCTTCACAGTCTTCCGCGCCACATCCTCCTCCAGGCCCAGATCCCCAGGCAGCTTCTCCAGCAGCTCCTTCTCATCGAAATCCCCCGTGCCCTTCTCAAACTCCTTCTGCACCAGCTTTGAGAACATCTGCAGGCGAACTTTTTCGGCTACCATGCTGCCGATGTCCACTCCGCTCTCCTTCAGCTGCTTCACCTCGTCCACCGACAGCCGCCCCGCCTTGATCGCCGCATCGATTGCGCCCGCCATCTTCGTACTCGTTATAGACTGCACCACCTTCTGCGCAGCTGCGTCTGGGAGCCCCAGCTCGCGCTGCATGATCTTGAGCTGCTCGGCGCGCGCCTTGGTGAGCTGCCCGTCGGCGAGCAGCGTCTGCGCCTGCACCTTGAACGCCTGCTCCGCCAAGCCCTGGTGCACCGACGAAACCTCAGCCGGCGCCAACCCGAGAATATCCCCGAGTTGGGACAGGCGGATGAAGTCAGAGGTGTCTCGTTGGACGGTGAGGCTGGTGCCCATGGGCATGCCGGTGGTATCCCCCTGCAGGCAGAAGAGCAGGAAGGACTTGTACAAGTCGAGCCGCTCCCTCAGCTCCAAGTCGTCCTTCACTGACACCTCCTTCTGCGCCTTGCCCTCCTTCTGCTGCCCCTTGGTCTTGCGCATCGACTGCAGCAGCGGCATCTCATCGTCATACCCCTCTTCTGCCTCCTTCTCCTCTGGCTTCCCGTCCTCTGCCTTCACTGCTGGCCCCGAGCCTTCGCCGGTGGCTGCCGAGGCTGCGGCGGCAGGCTCGTCGGTCTTGCCTCGGATGTCGTCGAGGAGCTGCGAGACGGTGAGGTTGGAGAAGATGACCATCTTCTTCAGCTCCCGCGCGCCCTCCGCACGGCTCATGGTGCCACGGGCGCGCTTGATGTACGTCAGGAAGACAGCGCGGACCTGGGGAGTGGGGAGGCAAGGCAGGCAAGGGCAAGCAAGGGGGACAGTGGGGGGCGGTGAGGCTGGAAAACATTCAGCACCCTTGCTCCCATGTTCTGCTGCCAGCTGCTGCCAGCTGCAAGCAGCTGCTCTCTACCTCTTCCAGCTGCAAGTGCGACTGCTGAAGGTGCCCCTGCTGCTGAACTCACCGCCTTGGTAGCAATATCCAGAGCAGACTGCAGCGGCAGCCGCAGCCCCTTGACAGCGGCGCGCACGGCGTCGCGCATGTCGCCATCGTAGCCGTCGATGCCGGCGCCAATGGCGTCGTCCACGACCTTGGTGAAGATGCCTCCGCAGATGTCTCCGTGGGCCTGGTCCACTGCGCTCTTGGGCACGCACAGCAGCACGCGCAGCCGGTTCAGCGCCGCCACGTCATTGTCGCTGAGGGATTTGTCGGCCAGGCACTGCTGCAGCTTCTGGCGGTAGATCTCTGCAAAATGGGGTGGGATGGGATGGGATGCAACGAGGATGGGATAGGATGGGATGGAGTGAGGCACAAGGAGAACGGGGAATGGGGTAGCAGGATGGAGAGCCGGAATGTAGCATGGCCGGTAAGGGGACATGTCTCTGTGCGCCTGGTCCAGGGCACTCTTGGGCGCGCGCAGCAACATGCACAGCCGGTTCAAAGCAGCCTCGTCATCGTCGCTCAGACACTTGGCCACCAGACACTGCTGCCGGTAGATCTCTGTGGGCGGTCGAATGGGGTCGAATGCGGTTGAATGCGGTGGATTGGGGTGAAATGGGGAGGATTTCATCATGACACGCCCTATCCACCACACTAAATTGCACCCCATCACAAATAACCGCACTGCACCGTACCTTCGTGGATCTGGGCGGCCTTCTCTGGGTCGAACTTGAGTGAGCCGCAGAGCTCTTGCAGAACCTCCGCCTTGCTGGCGGCCTTGTCAACATACAGTCAGTCACGCACTGCACCGCTTCATACCACACTAAACCACAACCATCCACCCCCCACCGTACCTTCATGGATCTGGGCGGCCTTCTCCGGGTCAAACTTGAGCGAGTCGCAGAGCTCCTGCAGCACCTCCGCCTTGCTGGCCGCGCGGTCCAGCTCGCCGCCCGTGACGAGATTCGCCAGCTTGCGGCGGTACACCTTGCGGGTCACCTCGTCTGACGCCTCCTCCGCCTCGCGCTTGCCCATGCCGAAGGTATTCCTCAGCTCCGCCAGCGCCTCTGTCTGCGTAACGGAAAGGGGTGGGGAAAGGCAATGAATACACCTTGCGGGTCACCTCGTCCGATGCCTCCTCTGCCTCGCACTTGCCCATGCCAAAGGTATTCCTCAGCTCCGCCCATGCCTTGGTCTGTGTATTGGAAAGGGACAGGGGGAAGGGGAGGAGCACTGGTTACACCTGCCTTCCTGCCTCCAATGCCCATGATCTCCATGCAGGCCAATTGTGCTGTGCAGCTCTGCTAAGGCCTCGGTCTGTGTACTGGAAAGGGGCAGGGGGAAGGGAAAGAGCACTGGTTACACCTGCCTTATCGCCGCCTCTGCCTCTTGTTGTCCATGCCAAACGTGCTGCGCAGCTCTGCCCTGCCCTGCTCGGTCTGATCAGGGGGGAGGGAAAATATGGAAAAGGGAAGAAGGCAGGGGGAGGAAGGAAGAGGGAACACATGCAGATGTGTTACGCCAGTCCACATGAGAGAGCCGTTACATCTATTACATTTTTTGAGAACTCTCAAAAAAGTTTTTTGAGAATTCTAAAAAAACTAACTCAACTATTACATTGGCTGAAATGTGCCACCCCTTAGTGTCCGTGCACCACACAGGAACCTACCTGAGCGGTGGAGAGCCTGGGAGCATTGAGCGCCTCTGAAAGGTACGTCTTGTAGAGCAGCTTCAAGTCGTCCATCTGGCGATCCGTGTCGTACTCGCCTCCTGTGGTGGGTGCAGCGTAGAAAGCGGCAAGTGGTGCCCGAGAGAGTGAGATATTTAAGAGCTGATGCATCCTCACCCCCCAAGACTCTGGGACTGTGATGTATTTTGACGAGACCATAAACGACCAAGGAAGACGCACCAAACACCGAGACGGGCCTAACCCCCAGCAAGAGGTTATCCGCAATGGCGGACTTGGCGAGAGGCGTTGGAGGAGTGAAATGCATTGGAGGATTGAGAGGCGTTGGAGGATTGAGAGGCATTGGAGGAGTGAGACTCCCTCTCACAAGTGAGAGGGGGGGGAGAGAACGAGGGGAGAGGCCGGCGCGGCACACGCACCGAAGACAGAGACAGGGCCAATGCCGGGCAGCAGGTCGTCAGCAGAAGCGGACTTGGCAAGAGCAGCCAGGTGCGCATTGTACGCCCTCATGGCGTCCAGATCATCCACCACCTTGGTAGTGTCCCTGCATTGAATGGAGCAGGGAGAGGGTGTCAAGGGATGGGTTGATTGGGCACCTGGCTGGCATGAGAGGGTGTCAAGGGATGGGTTGATTGGGCACCTGGCTGGCATGAGAGGGTGTCAAGGGATGGGTTGATTGGGCACCTGGCTGGCATGAGAGGGTGTCAAGGGATGGGTTGATTGGGCACCTGGCTGGCATGAGAGGGTGTCAAGGGATGGGTTGATTGGGCACCTGGCTGGCATGAGAGGGTGTCAAGGGATGGGTTGATTGGGCACCTGGCTGGCATGAGAGGGTGTCAAGGGATGGGTTGATTGGGCACCTGGCTGGCATGAGAGGGTGTCAAGGGGATGCAAGGGATGGGTTGATTGTGAGGAATGCGGCACCCCCTCATGCCAGCCAGGCGCGCGTTGTACGCCCTCATGGCGCCGAGATCGTCCACCATCTTGGCAGTGTCCCTGGGAGATGGCAGGAGGGAGGTGGGGGGGAGATGTGTACGGGAAGGGGTGGGGGGAGTTCGAAAAGGGGGGGGGGGTTGAGAGGTGGTGCCACATGGCCGTTACAGCCTCCGGGGGGGGGGTGCTTTACACTGGTAAGAGCAGCAGTGGCGCCTGTGGATATGGTTGCCTATGCTGTATGGCGCAGTAGCCTATGCTGCTAAGGGATGACACCACCCTGCACTCTGATCCCCAACCCCCTATCCCCCTCCCCCACTCCCCTCCCTTACGCCCCTCACCCAATACCCTCGCCCATTCCCCCTCGCCCATTCCCCCTCGCCCATTCCCCCTCGCCCATTCCCCCTCGCCCGTTCCCCTCCCCCGTTCCCCTCCCCCGTTCCCCTCCCCCGTTCCCCCCCCCATTCCCCTCCCCCGTTCCCCTCCCCCGTTCCCCTCCCCCATTCCCCTCCCCCGTTCCTCTCCCCCGTTCCCCTCCCCCGTTCCCCGCCCTGCTCACTTGATGCGCGTGCGCGCCTTGAGCACGTCCAGAGCCTGGTTGATGTACTCCTCCACTCGCTTCCGAGCCTCCGCCCGAACCATGTCCGCAGCAAGCTGAGAGGTTCGGAGAGCGAGAAGGGAAGGGTGTGTACCAGGAGTGTGGGTTCAAGTGGCCAGGTTCGCCAAACACTCCTGATATAAGTCACATGTTAACTCCTGAATAGATTGATGCAGTGCGTTCAAGGCCCTAGGCTCAATTGCAGTTTATTCACACGATGTAGGAGCTTGTACTATAATCAGTTCACATCAGGATTCTGCACTATAACGAGGCACTCACGTCATCTGAGAGCTTATAACGAGTGACTCACATCCTCTCAGAGCGTATAACGAGTGGCTCACATCGTCTGAGAGCCTATAACGAGAGACTCACATCGTCTGAGAGCTTATAACGAGTGGATCACATCGTCTGAGAGCTTATAACGAGTGACTCACATCGTCTGAGAGCTTGTACTTCTTCTGCAGCGCCCTGAGCTCCTTGAGGTTGTCCACGGTGAACTCTGATTGGCGGAGAGGGACGGTGACACAGGGGCAGGGGCAGCAGCACAGGGGCAGCAGCACAGGGGCAGCAGCACAGGGGCAGCAGCACAGGGGCAGCAACACAGGGGCAGCAGCACAGGGGCAGCAACACAGACAACGTGAACTCTGATTGGCGGAGAGGGGCGAAACGCAGCCAGCGGTAGCACGGCATGACATGAAGCGGACTTTTGAGTCGACTAAAAAAACGGGCGAAACGCAGCCAGCGGTAGCAGTCTATGTTTGAGGCGCCTCAAAAATAGACTCCTAACGGGCGAAATGCAGCCAGCGGTAGCAGTCTATGTTTGAGGCGCCTCAAAAATAGACTCCTAACGGGCGAAACGCAGCCAGCGGTAGCACGGCACGACATGAAGCGGGATCCCAGGAGGCAAGAGAGGAGGGGCAGCAATTTAGAGGGAGCGGCAGGGTGGGGTGGGGTGGGGGAAGGGGGGGAGAGGGGGGGGGGGGGGAGAGGCGAGAGGAGGGGAGGCAAGGGATCTGACCTTCTTTGGTGGCGAAAAGGGGGGGGGAAAAGGTGCAAAAAGGGTGGGGGGGGGGAAGCGATTGCACTCACCTCCCTTGGTGGCGTCGAGCTGCGCCTGCAGCAGCGACTGCGAGTTGTTGCGCACGGCGATGTCGACCTGCGCGTCGCTGACCTTGAAGATGCGCTTCCACGGCAGCAGGAACTTGGACTTGTCGCCGAACACCAGGTTCGACACGTACACCAGCTTCTGGAACGACTGGAGTGCGGGAGAAGGGGGGGAGGGGGGGGGGAGAAGCACCAGGGGGAGCACGGCGTAGCAGCGTTGGGGGAAATGGACTCGTCGCCGAACACCAGGTTCGACACGTACACCAGCTTCTGGAACGACTGGAGCCAGGAACGGGGGAGGGGGGAGGTGGGGGAGAGGAAAGCGGGGGGCGGGGGGGGGGGGGGGGGGTGTGTGGGGTAGGAGGGGAGAGGGGGAAGCATGGGTAGGAGCGGAGCAGGAACTTGGACTTGTCGCCAAACACCAGGTTCGAGGTTTGACATGTACAGCAGCTTCTGGAACGCGTGCAGTTGCAGGGAGGAAGGAGAGCAGGGCGGGTGGGGGAGAAAGGGAAGGAAACGGGCAGAGAGGACGACAAGGAAAAAATGCGGGTCAAGCGGAGGAGAAAATGTGACAAAAAGGTGGCGCTTAAGCCCTATCCCCTGACATGGCCCTTGGACTTTTCAACCCCTTCAAAAGCTATTTATTCCTTAAAAGGCTACTTCTTCCTTTCGAAATGCCAGCTTCCAGCCTAGAAAGCAACTCACCCATCGCAACCAGCCCATCGCGTTTAGCCTTACAAGCTTCTCCACAAATCTGTCGCTCGCTCATCATCCCACCTATCAATCGTCGCCCACCGTTCACTACCTCGCCCGCACGCAAATCCTTCGCCTACCTCTCCCTCCCTTCTGTTCACATTAGTAATCCTTTTCCTACCTGTCGCTCCTCGAATGCGGCCTCCTTGTCGCCCGTCTCCAGCCTTTGCCGGAAGATACGCCGCCCCACCTGCACACAGGGTTCGCAAGCACGCGACGAGATAACATGCGCACACGCACAGAGACGCTTACACACGCGCACAGGGGGCGTACGCACACGAGTGCGAAATGACGCAATTTTTCGTTGGTCGGCGTAAACCGTATCGTACAGTTAATGCGGACAATGCTGCTTGATCGAGATAGACTCTTCCCCGTTATAAACAATCCCATATCTCGGTCCGAAAAGTGCAAATCCGCGATGTAAAGAGCCCCATACCTCGATATGAGCAGCAGCGGCGTCCTCGTCCTCAAGACCCATCGACGCCTTAAAGCGGATAATCAGGTCCGACTCGTCGCCCCTCAACGGCTCGTTGCCAGGGGGGATCACAGACGACACGAACCTGACGGGGGGGGGGGGGGAGGGACGGACGGACGGGTGGCGCGGAGGGGGGGGGGGGGGGAGGGGGGAGGGAGGGTTAGCAGCTGGCCCAGCGACGCATTGAAGCGAGATCGGGCCCGAGTCGTCGCCCCTCAGAGGCTCGTCGCCGGGCGGAATCACGGACGACACGAACCTGACGGGGTAGGAAATGGGGAGGAGGGGAGGGGGGAGTGGGGGGAAGACGGCGTGAGAGACAAACGACGAGAAAACAAGAACGTCGAGGATAACCTACCGATGATTCCTGTGTGGCAATAGCAAAACGAAACACGACGACGGTGCGGACAGCGCACGTAGATATCGAACCATGCTATTTTGCGCTAGGGTGTGAAGCTGATAACGCTTTACAAAAAGCATGACACTTTCCGATGCATGGGCTTCTGAAGCCTCGGTCTTGCAGATAAAAGTGAGAGTAAGCCACGGTGTGTGTGTGGGGTGGGGGGGATGGGGGGTGGGGGGGGGGGAGAGGAAGAGGCGGGGTTGGAAAAAGGGGGGAAGCAGCACGCTCACTTCTCGTAGAGGTCCTTCATTTCTGCTCGGTACCTCTCGTCCTCCAAGCTCACGCCATACCTGCAAACATCACCAAGAAAACCCATATCACGAAATGCCTTCTTTCAGATGAAGGCAGCACAGGTATAGCGGATTTCAACAAACGAAAAAAACAAAAAACGAAAAAGTCCGACAGTATTCGCGTGCCTTAACGAATCGACGTGCAATAAGAGGTATGTGAAGAAAGGGGATCGACTTAAAACGCAAGAAAGTTCCGACTCGCAGCTCACTTGTTCGCGATCTCCGCGGCTTCGCCTCGTCTCAGTTGAAGTGGATCCGATAAGCGCACAAGCGAGTTGTGCAAATCCGCTGCAGCGACTTCCTTACTAGCGGAGTTCACCACGTGCGCGGCTCCCGCGCCAAGCGCGCCGAGCACTACGACACCAGCCACCTGCCCCACAGGCGGCTGGAACTTGCTGCCGGCCGCGAACCCCACACCGGCAGAACCGACGATAATTGCGCCGCAGACGGCATATCTAACCGGCGTCGGCAGGCTCTTAACGACGCCGGGAACGCCGGTGAGCTCGACCTCCCGGCCGAAGATGCTTCCGCTGGGGGTCCTGCTGGGAGTAGCATCAGCCTGCTCCGCTGCTGCTGCCCGGACTAAGGTTTTGCTCGAGGCGCTGCGCCATTGCTGAGCTGGCAACGACGTGGCAGGAAGGGTCTGGCGGAAGGGTGTTTGCGCGGCACGAAGGCCTTGAAAGCTTGGGATCGATCGCGATGTGCTTCCCTTTAGGAGGAGCGACTCCATGCCTGGCAACTGCCCTTCCAAACAGGAAATTGAAAAAGAATCGTCGGTCGACGGAAACCTCTTAGCCTGTCGACGCTCTACAGACCACCAGACTATAGTAAGGCTAACACGGCTAAGATAGGCTTTCCAGCAGCAGCCAGACGAAGTTCGCTGGGCGAACGAAGGGGAGAGAGGCGGAGAAATGAGCATCAATGCTGAGATAGAGGCAGAAAGCAGGGTCGTCCTCTGTGAGGTGGTGCTTTTAGGTACGGTGGGGAGGTTCTCCGTACGGTTTATATTTGATGCAGTAAGGTGGGATTATGCTGACCTTGTTTTGCCTCTTGCCTTGTGATTTTCTCAGCCTCTGATTTCCCTCCTGTCAAGTCTCACACTCAACCCGGGCGGCGATGACAGCGGGATATGCGCTATAAGCTGTTCCCTCGTGGCTATACTATCGCAATCGTGACGGAGCCGCTATCCTCACCAACTTCACTGGAGCCCGAATCCCTGGATGCCATGTCATGGATGAGGGAACGGGCCTGAAGTAGTGTCAGTAGCCGCCACGTGGATAGACCAAGCCAGCCAAGCAGTTTCTTGGTGTTGCCTTCATACTCGTCGTGAGTGGACTCGACTATAAGAATACTTCAACATGAGTGCAGAATTGAATAATCAATCGCCTTTTTACGAGTTACCCGTTCAGTGATGCAAAACAAATCCGTTGTTCTGTAGAATTTTGGCGCAAGCACCGAGTGAAATTGGCACGCCACCGCAACCACATCGAATCGCCCCTACATTGAAATTGACGCGCGGGTGGCCCGCCCATCTTGCCAGAGCCATGCACGACTCCCCTTCCTCCCCGCCACACTCTCTTGTCCAGTGCGCTCTTCAGTCACTGAAGCTGGCTGGCAGAATCAGGGTCGCGGCGGCAACATCAAGGGGGTGGGTTGGGCCCAAGCTGGTCTGGCTACGAATTTCCATCGAGAGAGCCTTGAGCTTGCCATTTCCCAGTCCGTCTCTTCTTGTGCTCCTGGTAGCAGACGAGCTTCGAGGTGGTTGGAGAAACGGGTGCTTGTGTGGTGCGTGCTGCCTTAACTGACGCATGCTTTTCCTTCAGCCTCGTCTCCTGGTCGGGTGAACAGCAAAGTGCGAAAAGCTCAGGCATTTACGTCTCGCCTTCGAGCAATCCGTTTTTAGCTCAATGTTGGTCTGCCGCTTCAAGTTGTACTGCTCTTGACGCCTGTCGGATCGACGTGAACGAAGCCGGGAAATGGCGGTGACTGGTAACAAGCGACAGCACGCGAGCAACATCGCGTTCGCGAACGTTACAAACGGCGCGAGGAAGAAGAAGTGCGTCGACATCCACTCGCTGCTAACCGTCACGAAACCATTGTCCGCTCGGGCTTTGAGCCACGCAGGCAAGAAACAGATGGATAGGAAATCACTGGGCAGCGATCTCATACAGTCACGCGGCGGTAGCAGCGGAGATGTGGCCGGAGGAGGACGCGCACAGAGCCGACCTTATAAGAACGGTATCGGAAGAGGTGGCAACTCCGATAAGGTTTCAATGTTCAAGGCTACTCCGAAGTCGCAGGAGAGGAGCAATGCGAGCAACCGTGGATGTGGAAGCGACGAAGAACAAGGAGTGGTGGATCTGGCTGAGGACGACGATGAGCTGTACGATGACGTGGACGATGACGTGGACGATGACGTGGAGGATGACATGGACGACGTCGTGGTGGCGGACGAGGAGGTAGAGGACGAGGAGCACGGACTTGCTGAGCTGGACGATCTCAGGTGCGAGGTTTGCGGCCGGGACGACGGCGACGACGAAATGCTCCTGTGCGACGGGCGCGGGTGTAACCGCGGTTACCACCTCTGGTGCCTGCGACCGATCCTCGTCGCCGTGCCCTTGGGTCAGTGGCTCTGCCCCGACTGCCGCCGCCCAGCCAAAATCAGAGGTACGGGTTCCGAACCAAAGTCGGAGGTACGGTACCAACCTCCCCTTGCTCCATCCGTGCCATTTATCGTAGACTCTCCCCTGTCATGCCATGCACTTGCCATGCCCGTGCTCTCAGTCTGCTCCTTCCCTGGCGTTCGTGGATGCCCGTCTCACGCACCCACTCTCCTCTATCCATTCCCTCCCGTTCCTCCCATAGGAGGCATTCCTCTCTTCACCCCGCTCTCCTGCCTCCCTCCTTCTCCCTCCCGATCTCTCTCCCTCTCCCTCTCCCTCCGTCTCCCTCCGTCTCCCCCCGTCTCCCCCCAAAACGCACCGTCGGGTCTCAGAGTTCCCCCTGGTCCAGAAATCCATTCTCGACTTCTTCCGCATTCAGCGCACGCCAGGACTCACACCTGAGAAATCTCCTGCTGCGGGAGGGGCCAATCAGGGAGATGGCGGCAGGCAGAGCAGCAGAGTCACGACAGAGCATTCGGAGCACAGCAAATCGGTATCAACGGGAGGGGTTCCGGGTACTGGTGGTCCTGACGGGGCGGGTAGGAGTAGGTGCAGCGGCAGTACAGGCGCTGACGGTAGCCGCGTAGGAGCTCGGACTGGCATAGTCGCTAACGCTACTAGCGACGTTTGTTCTAACACTGGGACTGGTGGGGGTAACACTAGTAGTGTAGGTGGTAACATTGGTCGCACAGGCGGTCAGTGCAGAACTAAGGGAAGCAGCACGACCAGCAGAAGAACAGTTATTGGCCAAGGCAGTGATTCTGGTATAGGTGACTGCGGCTTAACTACTAACACGGGCGAAGGCAGCTTTGAATCCAGCAACCACAACGGCAGCACAAGAAAGAGCGTCCAGAGCAGTAGCAGCAGCAGGAGCAGCAGGAGCAGCAGCAGCAGGGGCAGGAAGCGACAGACCCGAATAAAGCTGAGCCGAAAGCTGTTCCCCCACCGCCCAGTCACAGATCCTAAGAGGCGTCTTGAGCAACTTAGGTCCCTAGCCACCGCTCTGACAGCCATAGGGGCGCGGTTCGTGGACGGGCTGGATTACCCCTTTAAAGCCGTGCCGAGGGGGATGAACGAGCCGGGGAGGGAGGTGGGCGGGATGCAGGCGCTCAGCCGGGAGAACGTGGGGGTGTTGGCGCGCTGTGAGGAGATGTGGAGGCGAGGGGAGCCCCCTCCGCTGATTGTCAAGCACGACCCTTGCCAAGGGTGAGTAATCTAAGATAAGTAGTTAGTAGAAGAAGACTGTTGTGCGAATAACAGCTGTGAAAGATAATACGATCTCTCGTTTCAGTACCACTCTCATTCTCTTTCTCCTCCTTCGTTCTCTCAGCACATCGCCTACTTCCGTCCCAATGAACCCTCTCCTCCGCCTCTCCTCCCCCTCTCCTCCCCCTCTCCAAACCTTACCCCATTGCTGACAACCGCTCTAAATCATGAACCAGCTTTGTGGTGGAAGCGGATGCGCCTATAGCGGATCGCACGATAGTCACAGAGTATGGAGGCGTGGTTGACACCATGGCAAGGCGGCGACACGACCCCTGTGACGCTATGATGGGGTTACTGTTCACCGGGCGGGATAAGACGGACCTCGTGATCTGCCCAGACGAGGCAGCTAACTTTGCACGGTTCATATCAGGCATCAACAACCACTCCAAGTGAGTCCACAACCACATCAAGGGAGTTCATTGCTTTTCAAAGAATGGCAGCTTGTAGTGTTTGTTAGGTTTCACAGGGCAGGATGCGACAGATCTGGTCAAATGTCCCGATCAGGCAGCTATCTTAGCGCGATGTATATCGGGCATCAACAACCGCACCAAGAAAGCTCACAACCGGCAAGGGGAGGCCAGAGCTCTGCTGATTGCCAACCCGAGAGCTCTGTCCCCTCGTTACTGTCCCCTCATTACTGTCCCCTCATTACCATGTTTCTACACCTCCTTTACTGTCCCCTCATTACTGTCCCCTCATTACCATGTTTCTACACCTCCTTTACTGTCCCCTCATTACCATGTTTCTACACCTCCTTTACTGTCCCCTCATTACCATGTTTCTACACCTCCTTTACTGTCCCCTCATTACTGCCCCCTCATTACTCCCCCCTGCCTTATTCCTCTCTCTCCCCAACCTAAGGGAGGAGCGGCGGAAGATTAATCTGCGGTGTGTGCGGTTCAGCGTGAAGGGGGAGACCAGGGCTCTGCTGATCGCTCACTCGTCTTCCCTCCTTATTGGCACATCATATATCCCCTTCCCATTCCTTCCTCCCCCCCCAGGGAGGGTCGGCGAAAGATCAATCTGCGGTGTGTGCGGTTCAGCGTGAAGGGGGAGACCAGGGCTCTGCTGATCGCTCACTCGTCTTCCCTCCTTATTGGCACATCATATATCCCCTTCCCATTCCTTCCTCCCCCCCCAGGGAGGGTCGGCGAAAGATCAATCTGCGGTGTGTGCGGTTCAGTGTGAACGGGGAGGCCAGGGCTCTGCTGATCGCCAATCGCAGGATAGCCAAGGGAGAGCGGCTCTACTACGACTACAACCGGCTGGTGCACGAGTACCCCACCATACACTTCGAATGAGGTTGGCCTGGGAAGAGGCCGTAGGAACGCGCTGAGACTGCTGGTTTTAGTGGGGGGGTTGCTGCTCTGCTGATTGCCAACAGGAGGATAGCCAAGGTCGAGCGGCTCTACTATGACTACAACCGGCTGGTGCACAAGTACCGCACCATGCACTTCGAATGATGGTGATGGCTGGTGTCAAGGGGTGGTTGCTGCTCTGCTGATTGCCAACAGGAGGATAGCCAGGGCGAAAGGCTGGACAACTAGGACTACAAGCGGCTGGAGCATGAATATCCCACCATGCACTTCGAATGAGGCTTACTTACAGTAACCCACCTGCATCTCTCATGGCAGCACATGCACCACTTACAGCACTGCAGCAGTCAGCCCAGCCAGTTTCCTCAGCAGTGGGGTTACAACTCTAGGAACATTTTAGGGCTCAGCATAACAGAGCTAGGGTAGTCCACAGCTCACTCAGAGTAGGAGCAGGGCTGCAGTGCCTTCAACCTTCATATGACTTCATATGTTACATATTAAATCAACCTAAAGCATTACAAATTACAATGCGCAGCCATGCAGCAGTGCTATTTACAAGCAGAAGATGACCACCAGTGCTCAGGTCAGGTCCACTTGCTGCGGTTGGCTTCCAGATCAAGCAAGCGTGCCTGCACTCAGAAAGGGGGATTGAGGATAGGATCTTAGGATGGGGGTGTACTTAAGTAGCTTGGCTTGCCATACAGTCTTTTGGGAGGCGACTCAAAAAGGGAAAATACAACTGTTTAAGTGGCATGCAGTGTAAGCTGCCAGCCTTGGGCCACAGCTTGCGATAGATGATCTCGAGTGCAAGCTACACTACTTAATCTACAGGAGCTCACCTCCATGCTTCTTATGTACAGCGCTGCTGCGTTTAAAACAGAGCCGAAGTCCTGCTGCCCCCCCAGGATGGTGGCCGGCAGGACGGCCTTGAGTGCATGCAGCGAATCGCTGAAACAAGAAAATGTGGAAGAAAAAAACAGGAATGGGGGCAAAAGAGAACCAGAGGTCATGAGTGTGCAAGGATGGAAGCAGAGGTCATGAGGACAGCCTTGCTAGATCGAAGCAAATCACTGCAAGTACCGTATGATGGAAACCTGGAAGACAAGAGCTCAGGTTCAAGGCTACAATGAAATGGGACAAGAGGCAAGAACAGGGAAGCACGTCCAGGAGAGAGGGCGAGGGAATGGGATGAGTGGCAAGAGGCAGAGGGCCGCATTGGGTGCCTGTATCTCATTGCGTTGGGAGACAGTCCAACCCCCCCCCCCTCACCCTCCCCTCCCCCCCCTGGTAAACACTCAGTCACTCACGCCATTTTCCTCCTCCTTTCTCTGTCTCTGGTCGCCCGGGGGTGCAGCGACTTCCTCCCAAGACTTCCCAAAGCACCCATGTCGCCCGCGTCACTCCAAGACTTGGATGCTGCTTGCTGAGGCGCCTCAAGCAGCAATCTCCCCCCCCCACTCCCTGGTGTGGCCGGGTCCCCTTCAGTCCCTGTGGTCGCAGCAGCAACACCCACGGTTGCAACAGCAACAGGAGCGGCACGAACACGCATGGTTGCAACAGCAACAGGAGCGGCACGAACACAAGCAGCAGCCTTGGCAGCGGTGGAAGAGGTGGCACCGTAAGGACGGGCAGCAGGAGGAGAGACGGCACCATACGGACGGGCAGCAGGAGTGTTGGGGCCATGGCACAACCCCAATGGAGCAGCGCTCACTTCACCCGATGGCAGCATGGGAGTGTCATCCAGCAGTGCGGCCAGCAGCACCTGCTGTATTTGCTCCTGGCTTAAGACTCCATCCCTCTCCCCCCCCTGCTCTTGCAACATTAGTGCTTCTGGCATCCTATCCTCGTTACAAGGCACGTGCAGAGGAAGTGCAGCCACAGCAAGCCCGCTCGACTGAATAACGGGTTTTGGCTGCTCCTTTCGCAGGGTTGCTTGCCACACGGGACCCGCCTCCGATATAATGTGCCTCGCTAAGCCCCCCTGAGGTTGTATACATTTGTCGGAGGAAAGATTGGACCAACCAATCGGAGTCGATGGGCCCCAAGCGACTCCGCCGTCCGATGGGCCCCATTTCCTCCTCTTGCTCATGTCCGCGCCGCGATTCCTCATCTCATCCTCGCTATAAGGCTTCACGGGCGTTCGGACGACCAAAGGGCGACTTTTGTCGGTCTCTCGCAGCTGAGCCATAGGGTTCGCCGCATCCGCGAACGGGTTACCAGACAGGCAATATCCTTTCGCCACGTCGCCAAGCAGCTGATTCTTCTGAAGCTGCTGCTCCTGCAGCTGCTGCTGCGACTGTCGCGACTTGGTTACCAATTCGCTATTTCCTCTGTCAAAACAGCTCGCGACTCCCTCGGTATTTCGCAGGCCTGTAAAGCAGGCGTTTCCTAGGATCGAGCCGTCCCGTTGCTCCGGCATGGAGTGCAGAATCGCGTTCAGCTCGCCCGTCACCGTCTTCAATTCGTCGTTCAGCGACGGAATCGTGAATTTCAGAGACGGCGACATGATGCTCAACGACGCGCTTCCAAACCCACCGCCGATTGCCGAGCCATGTCGCATACCGCCGCTTTCATCGCCGCAACTGGCGCGGAAGGAGCTGGAGCGCGCTGGAAGATCGACGGCGTTCGGGATAACACCCGCCGGACTGAAAGCAGGATCTTCGGTTCCTCGTGCTCCTACTACTAGTGGAGCTGGCGAGCCGTATATAAGATCGGTGTTCTTTCGCTTTAGGAACGAACGCGCTGCGATTTGGGACTGTACGAAAGACCGCTGGGAACTGTCGAGCCCGCTGTTGTTTTCGCCGGCTTTCAGAGCAGCGTTGGCGAAACATCTCGGCGAGTTCTTCGCAGAATGTCGCGAAGCGAGGTCCTCCTTCGCCGGAGAACTACTGCCGGCGCTGACGGAGCCCATTGACGTCGCGTTGGTGGCAGGCGCTTCGACGAGAAAGTTCGAGAGTAGTGGAAACGATACTAGAGGGTCGTGCTGCTGGGCGGAAAACTTCCAGGCGGCCATAGGCGAGAAATGTTACTAATATTAGTAGTAGGTGCTCAACGAGGGGAGCCCCAGAGGCTGAAACACAGGGCCGGAAGTTGGGAACTCTCGGAATAAGAAGCATCACATGTCCTACACGCTGACGATGGCAATGCCATGGCGCGGACTAGTCTAGATGTCGACGTCACCCGCCATTCGCGTCGTGAAGCTCGAATGTTGCAAGGAAGGAGCGGCTATTGAGCCGCTGTACAGCATCCGCGGTACAGTACAACAGTGCTGTAACCCATCCACACGTTCGTGTAGTACAGTACAGTAGCAGTCTCTCCGTGTCACGCGCAGACACACAACGCGCGCGACTACTGTAGACAAGTCGTCGTTATGTTATACAGTATAAGCTGCTCGCAGATTGTCCTTGCGGTTCAGGGCCCTGCCCTCACACGCGGCTCTGCCTGTGGCTGTGGTGGTCCTTCTAGCGACAAAAAAGAACCGTCTTTCGTCTTCCTTCGTTCTCCATTCTCGCCATTTGTTCGTTTCCTTGGAGGCCAGTTACGCTACGCACTCTGGCCTCGGGCGGCGGGCCCACAACAAGCCTCCCCGCCGGCCGCCTACAGCAGAGGAATCGTCCCGCGCGGGATCTAAGATCTTGCAGGCCAGCATCGTGGAACTGTACTGTACTGTAATCTCCGATTGGTTGGAATGACTCTGGGACCCACCAACCGCCGAGTGGCGACGCAGCAGTGCAGCAAGAGCCTCTTATTCTGTGTGACTATGGAGCAGGGCACTCGGTTCAAGGGTAAACATCCGGAATGTCAGGTACATTCCGGGTCTTTCCCTCTTAAAAAAAAACAAACAAAAAAACTCCTGGCCACTCGACTGGCATATAAAATGACCCGTGCTGGAATTGCAACCCCCAACTACGCAACCCTGACCAATTTTCCAAGCAATTTGAAGGTGCAACTTTCACAGCCGCACTAAGTGCAGGGCGGACAGACCAAATACACGCCCTGAATACCACCTTAACCAGTTATCCCTTCAAGCTGTGGGCATTTCTGTCGCGATGGAAAGCTAAGTGTTGAAACTTGGTGTGGTGGTGAGTGACAGGAGCAGCTGCAAGTGTGTGATCTGTATTCTCCTCCATAAGTTCTTCCAGATATGTCCTCCGTGCTTGTGGCTACTCGGATTGCCCACAGGTTCTACTGATTGCAGGGCGTCCGAAAAAAACTCATGAATTTCATATGGAAAGTTCGAAGTGATCCTAAAATAAAGAGATTTTCCAGGGTCTTTAGTGACGCGAATCTTAAGACTCCCTGGGTCTTGACAAACGAAAAACAAATTAGCCCTGCAATGGAGTGGACCCACCCACTCAATCCAGCGCGCTGTGATTGCGCTTGGGGAACAGAGCTGCGCTTGTGAATGGGGGGAAGCAAGCTTGGCGTGCAAAGGAGTGAGGGGGATTATTGGTTCGGGGGAGGGGGGTTATTGCTGAAGGGCGGAAGACCAGGCGCAAGGAAGCAGCCACCTCACCACTGCGTCGGCTGGGCGGTGGCACTAGCGGCGGGAAATCGATGGCATGGCATGCTCCCCCTGCGAGGGGAGTGTTGTTGGTGTCGTCATGGGGGAGAGGAAGCGGGGGGCGGGGGGGGGGGGGAGGTTTGGGGGGGTGGAGAAAGGGAAGGGAGGAGGGAGGAGGGGTTTGTGGCGCGCGTGCACAGAAAATGTGGCTGGTGGGGATTGGGAGAGCAGCATTTTGGGCATTTTGGGTCAGAAAGTCGATGGAGTGGCCATTCAAGTTCCGTGCTCAACAAAATGCAGCGCAGCTTCGAGGATTCCCCGTATCTTTCGCCATTCACGCCCAAACTATTGGCGCTGTGAGTTAACCACAGCCTCGCTAAGTGCTGCGAAATACTACTGGAGAGCCTGGTGGTGACCTGCTCTTATTAATAACCGCATCTTCTTCGTGGTTTCCCGTACTTTTCCACTGACTAATGCGGAGGCTTTGAGAGACTTCAAAACTTTCAAATTTGTTGCCTGGCAAATCCCTTCTCAACAGCGCATATCTCTCTCATGCTGTAATTCGACCACCAAAACGTGGGCGTTATTTTCCTCCGTTTATTGATGAACTGCTTCACCTCATCGCGTGCATTGGCCAACCTGTGGACGTAATGTGCACTTCCGACTTTAGGTTTCCCTACATATACTAACTATGCTTATTGATATCATGCGTTTTTGCACATACTCTAAGCAATTTGAGAGTATTGGGTGTTCTAATATCTACCTTCATGTGCAGGCTCTGAATGTCACACTTATATGGAGGGCACCTTGTTGCATGATTTATCTTGATTTACCCTTGTAAATGATATTAGTGTTGCACACTAGCCCTAAAGCCAAGGTGAGGTGCACATTCACCACATGTATTCAAGGGATAAACATTTGAAACGGTGGTAACCTAGCGTCCCCAGCAGCATTGAGTCATTGACCCTCAAATTCGAATCCCAAGGCGCTGTTGAATGTCCACTCACGATTCTTTGACTACGTATATGGAACATTTGAAGAGGCGCTGACTGCCAAAACCTACCACTCCATGCACGCCCGCACCGCACTCCTCAGTTGCCAGCCCTTTTCCATATGCCCAAGCCACGGTTCGGCTTTGCGAATTGCCCACGTGCAGCACCGTAGATAAAAGTATCAGTCTCAACTGTTGCATAGTACGCTGCAGGTGTGGCACTGATAGCATCAAACACCTCTTTATAAGTCGATCCGTCAGTGGTTGTCAATGCCGTCGCGTCTTGCCACGACCCTGTAAACGCATACACGTACGGGTTCGGTTCGGCCCGAGCCAAACCAAACCCAAGTCCGGCCTTTCTCGGCCCGACACGTCCGCCTCGGCCAAGCTTATCAGTGACGTTTCGCCACGTGGCGTCAGACGAGAGGTCGATGACGACGTCGCCTGTAGCGCCCTTTGCGGCGCGGTTGATGGAGATGGAAGACGGGAGCTCGAGCTTCGCCAGCTGAAGACGCGCCGCGAAGGTGATGGTTCCGTTGCTGGGAGCAGGCGGGAGGAGGGGGAGCGGGAGGGAAGGAAGAGGAAGAGGGAAGAGGTGGGGATGGTGGGGATGGTGGGGATGGTGGGGTGGGATCACAGGCGGAGAGTCACAAGAAGAAGGTTATGCAAGTAGTAGCGATGCGACTGTAGCGAAATGTAGGGAGGCGGGTTGCAGCATTCGTATGGGAGAGAGTAAGAGATGGCATAGAGAGTGAAGAGTAGGAGATGGCATAGAGACTGAACGCGAGTCCCAGACGCCTTGCGTGCACAAGGACCAAAATCGAGGGTGCGTCCATTGCTCGTCTCCGTCGCGCCCTGGCGCCCATCCAGGGAGTCCCTGTGCGGCGAGCGGCGCGATCCATCGTTGGCTGAGTCAGGCGTACCTGAGTCGCGCCACTCGCCATACCCGAGTCAAACCAGAACCAGCCGTACCGGAGTGACACCGGAACCAGACGTACCTGAGTGAAACTAGAACCAGCGTGCCCGTCGCGTTGGCAGCACCCACGACGACGCCCGAATCGTCCACCGCCAGCTTTCCTCGCAGCCTCGCCTGCACAGAGCCTGCGCGCCGAGCCACAGCGTGAAAGAATTTGTAATCATGGTGACGTGCGGCATTAGAAAAGGCAGTACACCACGACTCGGACTCGGACGAGAACACACTGTGTGATGCAGTGTCGTGTCCGCGGGATGGGGTCATGTCAAAGCGCAAGGAACTGCTCATTTGCGAGCATGACACCCGCGATTCCTCCATTTACAAGTACGAAGAATGTTCCGCGATTTCACTATGTTTGAGGCGCCTAGAAATTTCCCCAATGTACTCACCGAGGATGTTGCCTCGACCGCCCAAGAGACCGCTGAGTTTGCCCCCCCTGCCCTTCCCTGCTCCCTTGCCGCCGCCGCCCTTGTTAACTTTCCCGTTGCCGTTCCCTTTCCCGCCGCCATTTCCATTCCCCTTCGCCAAGGCGCCTGCAGGATGACGGAGAATCGAAAGCGCAATGAGTGCGAGAACCGGAGAGCACGAGCAGCAGTACTACTAGTCGCGGACCGGGTGAGTATTCCCCGACGTTGCTTCTTAGAAAAATTCACGTACCTGAAAGCAGGAGGAGGACGACAATGCCCAACACGCTCCACCTCGAGATAGACATGCTAGCACTCCGCATACTGGAGATGAACCGTGAGCGATACGAAGATTGGGTTCCACAAGATTATCGAAACCGAAATGAGGTGGTCGAGAAATTCGTTCAATCAAGGCTCGACAGAGGAGGGGTTGCGAGAAATTGGGAAGGCAATTGATGGAATGGAGAGGGAGGGGGAGACAATATATAGTGCTCCACTCGTGCCAGGTGTGGTAAATCATGATGTCGGACGCACCGCATTTTGGTTTGTGGCGGGTGGAAATTGGGTGCGTGAAATTCGCAAATGCGCCAGGGAGGGAAAATGCCAACAAGAATTGTCGTCTGCGAAGAGAGGGAGGCTGTTTCGCAAATAGCCTTCGTGTGTCGTCTGCTCCCCCGCTTGTCGCCTCCCTGTGTTGGCAGTTCGCCTGTCTCCTTGATTTGTCGGTACGAGTCGCCTGCAACTCAGATGGTGAGATGAGTGTCGTGCATGCGAATTGGCGAAAAGATTGGTGGGGCTGGCGGCGACGCTCATTTTGGGAAATGCGAAAGAATTGTCGCACCCCTTGGAGAAGCCTTCCTCGCAGCTGCAGCTCACCAAAGGCAGATTCACAACATGATGTTGGAAGAAAGGGAAAACGCTGCAAAATCGACACGTAAATAAGCTAATACTACCATTCAAACGATCCTAAAATTGAGGGTTCTCCTCCTTAGTACAACATACGCAAACATCTTATATCATTTGCATGAGATGGTAACCGCATCAAGGATTATGTTCAGAAGTGGTACATCCCTGCAATAAAAACGTTCTTAGAGAATACGCTACTTCACCGAGATAATCTTGATCACTGCCGCATTCCCGATGCGATGGAGCGCAACCACCGACTCCCCTTCACGGCAAAACCCTCTGACCTTAGCGGCCTTCAGCGCCGCTGAAATCAGCTCATCAGTGGTATCCGAATCCGTGGCTCTGGCTGCCCCTTCAGCCAGCAGAGGGACAAGACCGCGGCACACAAGCGCATGCCTGGCCGGCGACTCGTCACTTATAGACCACGTGAGGTCGTCGGACGTCATAACGGGGACGGCTACAGAGAGGATGGGCATGGGGGGGCGGTACTTGGCCACTAGCTTGGCAGTGGAGCCTCCCCTGGTGAGCACAATGATGAGCACGGCACGGGCCTGGGGAGTCACACGGGAAAACGGGGTGGGGTGATGCAAAGGCGGAGTGGGCCGAATGAAGAAGTGAGGAGAAGGAATTAAGGCCACCAGTAAGCGATGGCAATTGACAGAATGGAGGTGAACAGAGGTTGTGACATAGTTATCATAACCAGATTCATGAGGGATAACGGAGTGAAATATTCATGAGGGAGCCCTAGGAAGGGAGGAAGAGGAGGAAGAAACAGGGGGAGTGGGGGAGGCGAGGCTCTCCAGCGGGCTCATGGACATGGCGGCTTCCACCATGATGGCCTTGAAGATGGAGTGACGCCTCTGCCCCCTGCCCCCCAGCAGATCCTCACCATCATGGTAACGGTGAGGGTAAGGAGGGCAAGGAACTGTCCCTCACCTTGTTGGCGGTGCGCACAGCAGACGAGGCAAGGCTCTCCAGCGGGCTCATGGGCATGGCGGCCTCGGCCATGATGGTCTTGAAGATGGAGTGGTAGTCCAGTGAAGCCTCCGCCTCTCTGCAGATGCGTGCCATCACGGTGACCGCCTCCACGGGCCACGACCCCGCCGCCGTCTCCCCCGACAGCATCACGGCGTCGGTACCATCCAGCACTGCGTTCGCCACGTCCGTGGCTTCAGCGCGAGTCGGCCTGGGGGATTTGGTCATGGACTCCAGCATCTGCGTCGCAGTCACAACAGGCTTTCCTGCAGTGGGAAAGCAGGGGGGGGGGGGGGGGTGTTTGGGGGGGGGGGGGGGGGGGGGGGGTGGGGTAGAGAAGCGGGGGAATTGGTTCGGATTCAGGCTGGTACCACAGCTTGCCGGAAGATTAAGGGTGGGTTCGAGGGGCGGGATTTTGGGGAGGAGGTGGCTTTTGCTTCTGGCGACTAAAAAGAGCATATGAGTGGCTCGAGAGACTTTACCATGCACACGCACATATGAGTGGTGGTTACCATGTGCTGGCATGAGTTGGGTTTGAGGGGAGATGAAGGAGTAATGAGGGCGCGGCATGGGCGTGTGAAGAGTGAAAGCGTGGGGCCTCCCTTTAATGTTGTTCCTTGTTTGCCTTAGTAAACTCCCTTTGCTAACCCCCTATAGTCCACATTCGGATTCTGACAACCGAACAAAGCACTCCAATACAGTGATCACCACCTGCGCTATAAGCCCTCACCTGCGGCGTTGCACTTGTGGATCATCATCTTCTGCGCGAGGAAAATCTTCTCGATGGGGATCTCCATGCCCAGGTCGCCTCGAGCCACCATGATTCCGTCTGACTCGCGCAGAATGTCGTCAAAGTTCACCAGCCCCTCCTGGTTCTCCACCTGCAAAGAACGTTCATTGTTCAATGTTCAGGACAGTCACAGGCGCTGTGAGTTCACATTGGCCTCTTGAGCAACCAAGCCGTCCGACTCGCGCAGAATGTTGTTTAAGTTCACCAGACCCTCCTGGTTCTCCACGTGTTAGGGGGATTGGGAGGAAGAGGTTGAGGTGTAATCACACAGTCGCCTCGAGCCACCATGATTACATCCAACGCCCACAACGATTGACGCCCCCACCCAATACTGCTAAGTCTAGAGGTGCCTCAACTCAACCCTGTGCAGCACGCCCCGCCCCATGCACCACGCCCCATCGCATACTGAGCGCCCACCACAGACTGCCAAGTCCAGAGCGCCTCAACTCAGCCCTGCCCGTTCTCCCCGTCGCACCTTGGAGATGATCTGGATGGACTTGCTGTACTGCGGGCCCAGCAGCTTGCGGATGATCCCGAGGTCCGACCCCTTGCGCACGAAGGACGCGGCGATGAAGTCGACGCGGTTGGGCACGCCCCACGCCATGATGTCCTCCTCGTCCTTGGCCGTGATCGTCGGCAGGTCCACTATCACGCCCGGCAGGTTCACGTTCTTGCGCTCTCCTAGGATTGCAGTGTTCTCACACCGGCACTGCACCGTGCTGTGACATGTGGAGTGGGGGGACGAAGGAAAGAGGGAAGAGGGCAAGGGACATGCGCGCAGGGGAGGGAGGCAGGGAGAGGAGAGTTGGGGAGTGAAAGGGAGCGGCCTCACGTCAGGCAGGTTCACCGCGCCCCACGCCATGATGTCCTCCTCGTCCTTGGCCGTGATCGTCGGCAGGTCCACTATCACGCCCGACAGGTTCACGTTCTTGCGCTCGCCCAAGACTGCCTTGTTCTCACAGCGGCAGCGGACAGTGTTGCCAGCCGGTGGAAGAGGGGCGGGAGGGATATGGGGCCAGGGAAGTCAAGAACGAGGGAAGGAGGATTGGGGGAGAAGGAGAAAACACGCAGGTTCACGTTCTTGAGCTCGCCTAAGACTGCCGTGTTCTCGCACCGACAGCGGACAGCGCTGTGAAGGGACTGGTGGGGGGAACGGAGAGGCGAAAGACGATGGGATGTATGCAAGACCAATTTCCCAAATTGGAGCTTCCCCTGGCCCTTAAAATAGCCTGGAAGAGTCTTTCTTCCTATACAGAGACAGCGCGAGGCACTCACCCTTCCTTGGGGTTGCACGAGAGCACATTGAGCGTGATGGACCCATCAGCGCACAGGATCTGACCGCCCGGCTTCACATCATTGGGCAGGCTCTTGTAGCTCATGGCGATCGTGTTTTCGTCGCCCAGCGCCTCGTAGTCCGTCGTGATCGTCACCTCGCGCCCCTTCTTCAGCTGCACCGCCTTGCCGTCTTTCAAGAACCCCGTGCGGATCTCCGGGCCCTGGGGGTGTGAGGACGGAAGGGAACGGGAGATGAGAGACAGGACCTTGTGTTTTCGCCGCATCAAAACTCGTAGTCCGTCGTGACCGTCACCTCGCGCCCCTTCACCAGCTGCACCGCCTTGCCGTCCTTCAAAAATCCCGTGCGGATCTCAGGGCCTTGGAACGGGGGAAAAGGGTCGGGGGTTGGAACTGGGGGAGGGAACGGCGGGAGGAGAGGGAAAGGGTTTGTGTACGGACATGTTCGCGTGCAGGCTTGCGGTCCTTGACGATCCCAGTATGCAGCTGCACGGACTTCCCTTTCTAACAACAAGCCTCCTTGAAGCCCAGAAAGGGAGGCGATGCCACCCAGCGGAAGTAATCCGCGTTTAGCTGGGAAACGCAATCGCTTTGGAATTTTTGCCAACCTGGGCATGAGAAATGTATTGAAGGGGTCAGCGAAATTAACAAGCCTCGCTAGCTACGACAGTATAATAATCGATCGCCGGAGCATACGGCCACTGCTGGAAAGGCAAGCGCTCTGAAAACTACGCCATTATATGCTTCACTGGCAGAAAATCCATGCTGAGCTTAGTGCTGCTGAAACACATGATGACGAGATGTCTGTGGTGGACTTTCGAAGAGGGTCGCTATCTATCTACACTAAGCATCAATGATCGGTCTAAGATATTTTTTTACCTTAGTATCCAGCAGCACGGCGCACATGATGCCGGTGTTGGCGGACGCCGTGCGGAGATTATCCAGGGTCTCCTGGTGGTAGTCGTGCGACCCGTGGGAGAAATTAAAGCGCGCGACGCTCATTCCCGCGCGAAGCAGGTTCTCCAGAATAGGGACTTCGCGGGAGCGAGGACCGAGCGTGCAGATGATCTTAGTCTTGGCGACCGCATGCTCATCTGTGGTCAGAAGCTCGTCAATTTGCATCCCGACCATCTTGACCGTTGATTAAGCAGTTCGCTAATAAGATCAACGGACGAAGGAATCTGGACCTTAGACGGAGAGCTGACTGGCACGGAGAGAAAAAAATCAGCGACGATCAGGATATGCTGGATAAGCAAATGGATATTATCCACAATGCTACGTTACGTCTGGTATTTCCACACGTTATAGCAGTATGAACAAACCGATCAGCTGTTGTAGCGCGATCGGCACGGGAAGCTTGGGAATAAAGACCAAGCTAAAATAACAGCCAAGTGACACTCTCAAGGCTGCCAGGCTGCTAAGGCAAGCCTGATAGGAGGCTTACTAGGCTCAAATCGAGGTACCGTGATAAAAGCCTGATACGAAGCTAGCCAGAATATGGCAGCCAGCCAGCCTCAAGTAGACTGCAGAGAGGGAGTGCTTGGTGGCTGTGAGAGTGAAGAGGAGGGAGGGAATTGCAAGTGAGCCTCGGATGGATGAGGCTCGGACAGTGACAGCCGCAGAATAGTGTGAGCAGGGAGAGGCACGGAGAGCTTAGGTCTTGTCGAACGTCTTCACCTGACCAAGAAAGGGGAGCCATGGTCCCAACTTATTGGCCAGAAATGGTGTCCGAGGCTACGGAGGGTGGCTCCTGGTTGGGGAGATTTGGCCAATGAGCTTCGGTATAGCGGATCTTCGTGAGGATGATTGGTCTGGCGACGAGCCCCAGGGATCTGGCGGTTGTGTGGCGGAAATGTGTTATGGATGCGACAGAGGCTCCCATCGGATTTCGCGTCAACGTCGTGTTACACAATCAGCACGTGTCTCCCAGGCTGACAGCCGTGCGAGATGCCAAAATACTCCAGGTTACGGCACTCACGAAAGACTCGGAGCAACGTCGGCTGACGAAGGCGAATATGGTTACAGCTTGCACTTTCCTGGCGCAAAAGCGCAGACCAAGATTGAAGCTGATCAAAAGTTCTGCTGATGGGCTCAGTACCGGACACGTGGAATTATAGATATCCAATGGCAGTGGAGAATGGGATGAGACAGATCGCACCACGCCACGTATGAACTCAACGCCTCAAGCTGTACTGGATGAGTGTTACGGAGCGAGAAGTAACCTGATCGCATGAGTTACGTAAGACCGCTCGCCTGAACGTTTGTCGGCACCGAGCGAAGGGAACTCGGAATGCAGTTCGCCTAGCTGCGACAAGGACTACCAGTCTGCAACCGTGGTGCAAGCCACCTTCGAGTGGGTTTGACACAACAACAATTCGCACAAGTGGAGCTTCGCAGAATTCTGCGAAAACCCTGCCTCCGTCCAAGTCACCACTGGCCACTACACCTGTCCTCCGCTAATTTCTGTTCCACTGTACCTGTCGTTATTTGTACTGTAGCTTGAACTTAGAGGGAGGGTGAGAAGTTAGCGCCAACCTGCGTGTTGGTGCTAATTTCTCAAAAGGGAACCATGCTGACCGTCCTGCTGACTGGGTGCCTACAGAAAATTCGGGTGACTGAGCAACATCGAGAAATCGTACGGTTGAAACAAGTGTAGAATCCTCATCAACTCATCACAATGCACCACGTGTTTGCTCACGCAAGCACATTCTTTCAAGTTGAGGAGCCCAACTCTCACCAACGGCTGCGATCTGCGATGCTGCGCTGCTGGTAGCTGACATGGCGAACCAAGCTGAACTTTCCCTATAACTTTTGAGCAGCATCAGGCAGCTAGTCAGATGCGACGCGGGTTCATGCAATCTCCGATTCGGGGAAAGAAAATGCCAATTCCTCACCCTTACATCCATTCTCTACCTACTCCTCTGGCCAAACCAGCACATCTGGTCGAACCAGCACATCTGGCCAAACCAGCACCTACACGCAACAAAGCGATTTCAAACAGCTTTCTACATAGCTACCTGCATCAGCATGCCGCGAGTTTCTGAATACAAATCTTCTCATAGCATCGCGTATCTGAAACCAGCCTGCTAGCCTCACCTTTATGGCCACCAACGACTAGAACAAGTGTCAAGCCATCATGGGTTTCACCAAGACTTGCCTCACCGTCGTCCTTCCAGCCCTCCGTCCCAAAAAATGGGGGTCGAAACCCTATGCACCTACTTCGTACGTTCGCTGATATGCTATGCACATACTATACTCGTGAAGGCTATGTCTAAACGCGTTTATTAGTGAAGCATAAATACTTAGTGCGAGGTATGTCGAGGTGCATTGCGTTTACATTGTCCATGCTGACCTTCGTCGAATGATGCTGCGCAAGACGTAGCATGCACTATGCATGTGCTTTGTGTGCTTCTGTAATTGCTATGTTAACGCGACGCAGTCACTTTCAGGCCGTAAAGCATTCCTGCCACTATTCGCGTTATTTTTTACATAGTATACTGGGTGTACAATATCACAAAATTTGAAGTACAAAATTCAGCATTTTCAGCATAGTACAAATTTGACATAAAATTCAGCATTTTCGCATTTCGGTTTCGGGAAAGCGACAGTTTCCTAGAACGGGAGGAAAGCAGTGACAATGAAGCGGATTCCGTTGAATTGCGATTTCCCCCATGGCTTCAAATTTGGTTCATCAAGGTCATGCCAGGGTTCTGTCCACTCTTTTCCAAAGCCCTGCATGCAAGCTGAGTACTGGGCACAGAATGCAAGGCGACAAGACGGCTAGAAATCCTAACAGCATAATATAACTTACGGATTTTGGCGTGACGGTAACAGTACAATCAAAATCGTGTCCTGCAAACAGGAAACCGGGACTAGAGTATGAGTTCATAAAAGAAAATAGGGCGGGGAACGACAGAGTCAGCATACATTCAGACTTACCGTTTAGGACGCCAACGTAGTGCCCAGATCAAGGATCGCGTGATGATGCGGAACCTGCAACAAAGTAAGAAAAACCAACTTTATTAGTTAGAAGAAAAGGGTTGTACTGTGGAACGCTTTAAAAACGACCAACTGTATAACTACCAATACGCATGAACCAAAACGACGCGGCTCCTACTCAGTGCAGTCTTAGCTCTATGTGTTCAGAGTGGTCTGAAAATGGAGAAGGAAGACTAGGGGGAGAGAGAGCTAAGTCTAGAAATGAGGGAGAGGGATCTGAGCAAATGTAGGGTCTGAAATGAGAAGAAATTGAGCTGTACTTGGAAACGAGCTGACAAATGATAAGGAAGCGAGCGTCTGTGGCTATATATTCTGGTTGTGCGGGGATAAGGGGGTGATGTGGTGGTTGGGGATTGGTCAGAAGTTGGCTGCACAAATTTTACTGGCTCGGCCGTTCTTTGGTACGATACAGAGTGTTTTGTTTCCCTAAAAGCTATGCTGCCTCGCTTTTACGGTCGCAATAAACAATCGCAAATGATACAGCTCGGCTACCCAATTTGTCGAACTGAATTTCTTTTCGCGAACGCGAAAACCCATATTTTTGCCGAAGCGCGTCGAGTTCTCGTTGACCAATAACAAACGAGAAATTTGGCATCTCACGCGTTTTCAGATTGGCTCTAACGATATTTGTTCTTGGCCAATCAGAACCGACCCATCGCTCTTCTCTTGGCCTAGGCAACCCGTGCTTCTTTGGTATGGTCGTTGGGATGTGGCTGGAATGAAGCAGAAACCAACAAGACGCTAATAATTCGCAACGCAAGCGATTAGGTTTAGGTTTGGAGGGCCCGATGAAGCGGGGACATAGGGCCTCTGGACAAAGCCTTTGCCGATGGGGACTTAGCTCCCACGAAGCCTTCGTCCTTGCTTCATTCCCATTTCCTCTCAACCTCGTGCTTGGGGGCTTCGTAAACCCTTAGTGGCAAATGTCCAACCCAACCCCGATTCACATTTTTGGGACGTCCTTGTCGTTTCGCAAGTTGTCTGCCATAAATCCAACGGTAACAGAAACGGAAAGCCCAGCGCCAACAACTACAAGTACAAGTTTCCGCCCATTATTGCAAGGTCGGTGGAGGCCGTTCTCTTGGGAATGAACGTCGTCAACCAGACCAAAAATCAACCAAGAATTGAGAACATAATGATATATTAAAACGGGTTAAGTACAAGCAAATAGAAGGATGATTTTTTCTGTTTGTGCTCTTTGGTTTTGTAGTCAAAAGCAAAAGCAAGTCAACCTGGAGAGAACAAAGGAAATCCCGAGTCGCATGTGGCTCTGGACATTTTATCCGGCTAAGGATTTACCCGGCTGGGCAATTCCAAACCCGGCTTAAGCTTGCAAAATTAGCAAAGCATAAACGAAACGCTATTCGCATAATTGATTAGGTGCGCCTATTGCGCTAGTGTCAGCGCAATACTCGGCGTAATGCCAAGTTGTGCTTGACTAATTGTGGTGCTGCCATGTGGCGACCAACAGTTGAGTCAAACCCAACAGTTTCCCTGCTTTGTAAGCAACCCACGTAACTCGGCCCAAATTGACTTTTGGGCCGGGCAACTGTTTTTGTCGCAACTCCCGCAAACCCAACTTGGCCAAGTCATCACCGTTTGGAACCACCCTAATTCTAGCCAAGAGGGGTGTGGAGTGGGGACCACCAAGTTTTCCACCAAACTCCAACACTCCCCATTGGTCCCCACGAACATCTAGGCATGTAAGCCCACCCTAGCACAACATGCATGAAATGCATCTCTAGGCAAGGGCTTCGTGAGGAAGTCCGCGGCTTGGGCGTTGGTCTTGACGTAGCGCAACTCCACCTCCTTGTCTTCGTCAAGCTTGCGAATGAAATGATTCCGGATTCGCACATGCTTGGTTCTTCCATGAAGGACCAAGTTCTTGGCGAGGTTGTTGGCCGCTTGGTTGTCAACGTAGATAGGCGTCGGTCCTTCTTGCGTATGACCAATTTCCCCTAGGAGACACCTCAACCATACGGCCTCGGTTCCACCACGATTGAGTGCCACATACTCGGCCTCGGTCGAGCTAAGGGCAATCAAGTTTTGCCTCTTGCTTTGCCAAGCCACCGCTCCTCCAAGGAGGGTAAAGACAAAGCCCGGGGTGCTTTGTCGAGTGGAGGGATCTCCTGCCCAATCGGAATCGGTGATCCCTTGGAGTACTATGGGTGTGGCTTCATAGTGGAGCCCTAAGTGTGTAGTGCCTTTGATATAGTGTAGAAGACACCGCATAGCACGCTTGTGCTCGGTCATAGGGTTGGAGACTACTCGTCCAAGTATCCCAGCGGCAAATGAGAGATCCGGCCGAGTGCTCACGGCGGCATACATGCATGACCCAACAATGGAGTGGAAGCACTTGGCCTTCTTGCGTTCCATTGGGTCTTCCTCGATTGGAGCCAAAGGGTGTAAGCCCCTTCCATAGGAGTGGGCGTTGGCTTGCTCTCGGCCATCCCGAAGCGAGTTACCACATCCTCCAAATACTTGTGTCGATGGAGGTGAAGAGTCTTGTGAGTG